ATGTCCGCACTGTTGCATTTTGATGTTTGGTCAAAGACAAAAAGAGAAGAAGGAAACAATGTAATAGCGACAGATCCTCCATAAATATACAGCAGCATTTGAAATTAGATTTGCATCGATTATGGGCCGAGACTGAGGGCAGACTTTTGCTCGACAATAACATGAGCCACTTCAGCATTTCTGACAGAACTCAGCCAGACTTTGACTTTTGAATTACAAAGTTTTATTGTAGTCTGTCACCTCTTTTTAGAAACAGTTTAACAGACTTGTTATTCAGAATTAACTGCTTTGTGCTTTTAACCATGTTACCTCACTGTTTCTGGGGTTTGTTTTTAGATCCATACACACATCTTGCACAAACATGTCACCCCACCCCTTCTGTTTAAAACACATGTGTCAAAGTCAAGGCCCGCGGGCCGGATTTGGCCAATGAATTATCTATGGCCCCCGGGACATTGCCTGCCATTGAGGCAATGTATTGACCCTTTAAGCTTGCTAGAAAAAAAATACTTCTGCTGGCAATAGCAGATGTATTTTGAACTTCATAACCCACAAACTGTATATCATTTTAAAGCTTATTTTCTCAGCTACATTTAAGTGTAAACAGTATCAGACTTTGCATTAAAAAGATATAACACATAATATGGGCACAAAATAAATCACGTCTGTAAAAGTTTTTTACCTTTTGTCTTCTGCTGCTTGAACAAATTAGACTTTCCCCATCCTTGCTTAGTCTCTTTCTTTCCGTAAGTGTTAATTGAAGAAGAATATCCACTTGTATTGCCTAAAGTATAATCCATTCTGCAGAAAAAATCCAAAAATGTGCAAATGTTGCAAAAATAAAAAAAAAAGCTCCAAAAGAGGTCCAGACTGCTCTTTTACATTTCACAAAGTTTGAGCTTTGTTTTTTTCACTATTTTCATGTTCTCAGATGTCTATTACATCTAATATGTACAGTATGAGGATTAGCTTTAGAGCATATTTTGCAGGTCCAGGTGTCACCAGCACTGCCTCTGGATGTTGAGAAACATTGAACCAGTCCGGCCCTCGGCGCGTAGCAAACATTTATTTTTGGCCCTCTGATGTATTTGACTTTGACATGCCTGGTTTAAAAGCTCCTGTCTCCGTCTTATAACAGTATCATGTCGTTGTACCACTATGACATCACACCACAGTTTTTTGACTTTTTATAAATACACTGATTACCTCATAAATTAGTTAGTCCTGCACTTTCCACACACTGTAGATCTTGTGACATGCTAAAAACAACTGAACATGTAAATGACAACTATGAAATTTTAAAATGTATGGACATTGGTCATCCCGCTCCCTATGAACCAATGGCTCCTATTTTTGTTTTAATTGCATTTTCTGTGTTCGAACTGTTTGATTCTCTGATCTGTTGATGAACCGACAGCTTTGTAAATTGAATGGAATTGAAATTGAATTGAACTCAACACAATCAAAAGCTGTGAAAAGTCCATTTTGCATGTCATGTCCCCTTTAAAAACAGTTTAACATGTGCTGAGGTCCCTTCCCATCTCTGAATAACATGACATCATCAAGTCCTGTTTAAACGTGGCAGGATTAAGAGCCCAGTGCGACGCATGGACAGCATTGATTTACGTGGTGTGAGAGATGTCGTGTGCGGGCAGATGCTGATGATGTTACCGTTGGATCATCTTTCTTCCCGTTTATCAGCTCGGCTTTTACTGGAATCTCTGGAGTCATGTTTCCATTCCCTGTGTACGCATCTACTATCTAAGTTAATATTGGGTTATAAGAATAAGGTTTTGATTCAAAGGGCAATGTACAGTAGCATGCAAAACTGACTTCTTACAGCGTTTGACCACGTTTTATAGCTGTTTCCTATCTTATTTTACACTCAAAGTTTACATGTATGTGTGATAACAGAGCGGAGTGCAGATCCATCTGGCAGGACTGAATACAGAATTGTTAAAATACATGATGAGCTACAAATCATTTACATTCAAATATATTGAACTTTTGAATTTTGCTCAAAACCAAAAATTAGCCAAAAACCGAACATGCCCCAAATGTGGTTATAGCTGGGTAATCAATCTTGTTTGAATGTTTTCTTAAATGATACACTTAGGTTTGTCCCAAAGAGTCTCTGTTAACGCTTTAGGATGAGAGCTGATGCAGTGATGGTGGTTCTCTCTTGTTCACTTTCTCTGTACAGAAAAGCGGTGACAGAGGCCAAATATACATGCATGTGAACACCAGTGATGGAACCAAAGTGCTTTGAGAGCGAGGAAGATGGATTTTTTAAAGTGAAGTACCCTAGCTTTCAGTTTTAAAACCCATGAATAAAGCTAAGGTTCTGGCAGGCTTAGTTTTTGACGTCATTTTTAAATCTCAAATCATGAATTAACAGATGTAATGAGGCTAAAACTGGACTTATCAGAACTAGACTAGATGTAAACTGTGACATTTACCACTTTAAAGTCCAAATATCCCACATTACTATTAGAAGTTAATTTCCCACCGTTTGCAAATCGCTGGAGTAAAAGATTGAATTCAGCAGCCACTAAAACTGCTGACCGCTGCCTGGGTGACCCCTCATACTCTCTCTTTTAGCACGACAATATGTTACTCACACACTCACACAGACTGAAGCCAAAAGAGGAGGAGAGGGAAGGGGGGGGGGGGGGGGGGGGGCAGTCATACAGAGCAGGTTATTACCGCAAAGAGCCCTGCAATTTTCTCTGTGTCGTGGAGCGGACCTCACGCTGGGGGCAACGACAACACATTAACCGTTAAACAAGACACGGCAGACCTCGGGGCGCAGAGTGCTCAGAGCGAGGAGGAGAAAGCAGGGGAGGGAGAGGAGAGGAAGAGAGGGGCTGAGGAGGTGAAAATGGACTTGGAAATGCAAGGGTTAAGGAGTAAATCCTCAGACAACTGCTCTTACCCATTAAGGCAACACTAAAGGACTTGATTGAACTGCAAAGGGATTGTTCAGCCGTTTGATTCTTTAATGTGAGAAAACGTTTTAGAATGTTTTGTTGCTATAAAAGTGGCATTAAAATCTTTTTTGGCTTTTGTTCATGCAGCGTAATTAGGATGTTTCACAAAATGGTAAAGTCCTCCCGTCATCGCAATGCAAAACATTATCAGGGCCAGTTGAATTTGATTTGGCAAGTAAAATAATCTGCCAATGGAACTACTTTTTAGTAGTGATGGGCAAATGAAACAGGAGCTTCTGGAGCTACTGCCTCCTCCCTCTGCTTCCGAGACTCTAAGGGTGCTTTCACACCTGCACCATTTCCACTTAAAACGGACTGGAGTCTGGAACACTTGCAAGTACGGTTCGTTTGAGCAGGTGTGAAAGTGGACCAGTTAAATTTGGTCCAGACTAAAGAACCGCACCGAGACCAACTTAGGGAGCTGGTCTCGGTACGGTTCCATGCGGACTCCAGTCTGGTTCACTGCTGGTGAGAACGCAGACCGGCCTCAATATGGCCCTGCTCTGTTGCGTAGCTCACTTTTTGACACACACATTGTTTTTTTTTATATGATAGAGTAGTCAAAAACACCCGCAGATTGTTCTCGTGCTGAATCTGTGATACAAACTGGAACTGGAACAACAGTATTTGTGCTGCACAAAGCAACAATGATAAAAAAATAGCCTCACACTAGAGCAGCACAGTTCATCGTTAAGGATCTGACAAGTTTGTTTTCTTCTGGTATTTTTCCCTCTTCACATCCTGCACCAATCAGGTTTCACATACATCATCCAATACACAGTATTTTGTGAACAGCACCACCACATGGGCAGAATATGTAACATCCACAGTGGTTTGTTCATTTGCAAAAACACTGGTGTGAATGAGAACCAAACTAGTTGAGAACTGCAACATTGTAACAACTTTAGGGCCCAAGTGAACCACTTTAGTGGACCAACAGGTGTGAAAGCGCCCTAACTTATCAACGTTATCATCCGCGTTGGGGAAAGTAAAAACTTTTGTTACAATTCATGAATGCAACATCGTAAATCGTTTTTTAACAATTTATCTATATGAAGAAAGGAGGAAATCCTAGGCACTCCGAGGTGCCCAACGTGTTTTGGCCACGTTGGGCCTTCTTCTACATGGCCGAACCGCGTTGCCTAAATTATTTTCTGTCAAGAGTGCCTCAGATTTCCTCCTTTCTTCAACGTCTCCAGTGTTTTTGTCACGGCTGATCCCGATGAGCAGCTGACTAAGATTGACCCACATGTCTCTTGAACATCTCTGACTCTTTGGGCTCAGAGCTGGTTCTATGAGTGAGTGTGGTCCTCTCTTTTTCATTTTTCTGTCTGATAAAGCTGATCCAAAAGAGGCCAAAAATACGATGCATGTTTATTGTCAATATAGAAAACTTAGTTTAATTGATGTAAAATACACAGAGACGGTGTCAAACGCGACGCTGGCCTCTCGTTTCAGTCTAAAGAATCTAAAACTTTTGTCAAGTATCGATAACTGGAGCAGTGCAAAAATACAATGATTGACAACAACATGTCAAGTGTACAGCTATAAATATGAACGGAGATTAAATGCATCCGACAGAGATAAGCTCGTCTTTTATTTGAACAAACATCTTTCAACTAAAAGTGAAGAGAGTTGAATTCGCTGCCGTCACAATAAAGTACATTTGATAAGTTTCTGTGCTGCAGGATCAGTCTGTGTGAATCTCAGTTCGTTCATATCTATTATTATGAATACATTTGCTCGATATATCTCCTGCTCTTCGTGCCTTTTAAACAGGTGTCATTTAAGATGCTATCTCGCCGGAGCTGACAGGCGATAGAGTCTCTTCAAAATGTGTGAAAAGCAATTTGGGTATCGCAAGCAGAGGAATTGCATTGTGGGGGATGTACGCTCGTAATTGCACTTGTGTCCTTTAGGGCTCTTCCATCTGGCGAACGGTGCAGGTTTTTGAACCGTTTGGCAAATATTACACTTAAATTAACTGTGGTGAATCTGGTTGTTTTTCAGGAGGTGATCCTAAAAAGAGCAGCAGATCTGGTAGAAGCGCTGTATGGTCTTCCCCACAACAACCAGGTAAGACACAGAGGCTGCAGGCCATTCATTTTCCCATCTATGCTACAGTACCACCAGGGGGAGATTTTGTATTTGTTTTTTTCAATTATAGATCATTACATAGCTTATAAACGGATTTGTTTACTGTGAAATGACTTTTCTCCCCACAGATAAAACTCGTAACTTAAATTGAAAGATTCATGATAAACTGTGTTAATTTCCTGCCAAAACGTCTAAATCATCAGTGTCAAAGTAGTTCCAGAAAAGGTCGGTGTGGCTGCAGGTTTTAATTCCAATCAAGCTGGACCACTCCCATTTTCCCGGGTCTTCAGGTTAAGACTGGATTCACTTGAGGAAATGGGTGATCGGAATTAAAACTTGCAGCTACACTTGCTCTTTGAGGACTGGTTTGACACCCCTGATTTAGATGATCCCAGCCTTAAAGCGGCCAGGACAGTTGAAGAATGAATTGAAAAACTGTTATGACATGGTCCGGAGTTGGGATAATTACTTTTTGAGCTTGCAACATACAGTACCAACAGCAAACGGGGCGATGATTTGAGATTCGAGCCTAAAGACTTTCCCCCGATGACTCACACATATATTATGGATCCGATCTTGTTCTGATCGTGGCGTTGCTCTTGCTTTAGGAGATCATCTTGAAGCGTGCGGCCGACATCGCAGAGGCCCTGTACAGCGTCCCCAGAGGCCACTCCCAGCTCTCAGGCTCCGCCCACTCCGGCATGATGGGCGTCAACTCCTTCACCGGGCAGCTGTCCGTCAACGTCAGCGAACCAACGCAGGGCAACCAAGGTACCACCGTCTATCTATCTTACTCTTTCACCACTCTACAGCACAAGTTAATACACGTGACTAAAAACTCAACCAACTTCAAACATGTGTGTGTTTCCTCCTGACCCAGGCTTCGTGCGCAGCTCGAGCAGCGTCTCTCCGCACGGCTACGTCCCCAGCTCCACCCCTCAGCAGAGCAGCTACACCTCCGTGTCCTCCTCCATGAACGGATACAGCAACAACAGCGGCATGAGTAACCTGGGCGGGTCTCCCACCTTCCTGAACGGGTCTGCCGCCAACTCGCCTTATGCCAGTGAGTGTAACCCTCATGCCACACACCATGACGTTAGTAAAGGAGAAGATGTCAGCAGAGAACCTTTATTTGCCACATAGTGAAACACAGCAGAAGGCAGTGGGATAGATATCATTCCAAACAATATCAGTAAGACTTATGACAAAATACTTTATCCGCGCGCCTCGCCCCTAGTCTTAACTACAGTCAAAGATCTGGGTAGAGCTGCTTCTTTATATTATCCACCATTCCTCGTTTTCAACAAATGTATCAGTGTTTATACTGTTATGTGCGTACAAAAACCTGCTTATTTCTCCTATCGCTCTGTGTGAAGCTGCTCTGGTTCCTCTTCAGCCCCACTCAACAGTTTCCTGTTGTGGGACAAATGTAGATGTCCATTTCACCAAATCAATATAAACACAATTACTTCCTAATCTGCAAATTCTCATAATAACATCCAACATCGTCAGTCACACACTAGAACAAAATATGGACTAAACAAACAAATCAGAATCAAACCTGCCTTCTATTCTATTGAATCTAACTCACAATGATAAGTCCTCACATTATATTTGATCACAGAACAATAACTATAATGTGAGTTTACAGCGGAGCAGAGACGTCCCCATGGGGATTACTGTCTGTCTTCCAACACAAACACTGTTGTCTGTTTTGTGCTTTAATTGCCTCATTTACCCATAAACACACTTTAAGGACTTGATTCAACATGATATTTTTAGTCTAAAATGAAGATGTATTATTTCCAGGTGACTCTTGTGGTGAAAGTCCATTTAATCATTTAATTGAAAACAGAATAATAGGATTCTCACTTGAGAACGCAGTGAGCGTTCCAGGAGGTAAAGGGACCTCTGGAGCTGAGTATGATGTTGGATTCAGACCCAACAGTTTGAAAACCTGCTCTACATGATCATAAGGTTTTTGTTCAAATATTTTCCATCCATTTCCTTCCGCTTTATCCGGGGCCGGGCTGCAGGATCATCAGTCTGAGCAGAGAAGCAAAGACTTCCTTCTCAACACAGCTCAACTCCATCGTCTCTCCGCTGTGTCAGAACTAGCTCAAATTAGCTTCTTACGATAAAAGCCAACGCTATTGGTAACGTCACACTCCGTTAATCCACTCCCTTTTATACAGTGTAATAAATCTAATCTAGTCTGATTTGACATCTTTATTTGTTTTCTAAATCCCATAATAATGGACTAAAAGCACTGATATTAACCCTTAAACTCCTCTCTTCGCTGCAGTTGTCCCGTCCAGTCCCACCATGGCCTCCGCCACCTCCCTCCCCTCCAACTGCTCGTCTTCTGGGGTCTTCTCCTTCTCTCCGGCCAACATGGTGTCGGCCGCCGTCAAACAGAAATCTGCCTTCGCTCCGGTGGTGCGACCCTCCTCCTCCCCCCCTCCCTCCTGCACCAGCACTAACGGCCTGCAAGGTACGACGACATCACAAGTGGAAAAAATACACCAGAATGAAGTACAAAATACAAACCGGTGCCAGATCTCAAGTTCAACTACGTTTCACCCTGAGCATCTCAGTTTTATGTGAACTGGAGACATTTTGAAAGCTTCTCTGGGACTAATACATTATGAGGTACTAACTCAATTCAATTCAGGTCAATTCAATTTGTTTTTGTATAGCCCTAAATCATTGGTCCATAGGGAGTGGAATGACCACTGTCCATAAATGTTCATAAATGCCCTTAAATGGATCATCAGTTTCCATAGACCCTCTGCATCGACAGGAACGAGTCAATAACACAGTGGGAACAAAGTGAGAAATCTTGAGGAGGCCCAGATTGAGAGAGGGATCCGCTCCCACGTACGGACTGAGGCTGTAGATCCAGGAATCAGACTGACTTATGACAACAAGACAGTTTTAACTTTACAACCCACAAGATTTCCACACTCTGGAATGTCCCTGCTGTGGGGAAAATAAAGGTTCTCTTATCTTCTCTAAACCTACTCAAACATTTCACAGATTTTTTGGCCTTTTATGACAGAAAATTTGCCTTTGAATCGTTTCATATTAAGTGAATCTACAAAACCAGACTTCCGTGGATCTCCGCTAAAGCAGAACTGATTACAACGTTTTATATTGTGCAAAATAACAAACAGACACAATGCCGATTTTTCAGTTTTATTCTGCTCTGCTTATTCCCCTCCATAAAAACACATCTGTCTGCATTTTGTGTTTGCGATCTCAAAAAACTTCTGCAGAGTTTGAGACTAACATACCAACTGAATCACCTTTAAAAACACATGGGTCACATGTGTTTATAAGCAGAGCTGAAGATGGCTGGTTGACATTGTGAAGTTGTGTAGTATGATCTGGTTTTAAAACATGTTTCTATATTTTGGTGGCGCTACATTTTGACAAGAAGCAAAAGCATAAACTCCAATGATTACAACAAAAAAAGAATCTGTGAAATCTTGGGCCAATTACCAAGACTTTAAAATCTTCCTTTTACATAATTTTCCCATTTCATTTCTTCATTCACAATGCTGTATGGGTAACTCTCTGCATGGGCATGTGTAATCAATCCAAATGAATTAAACATATCTTTGTCTGCTGCATGTTTGACTCTTGTATCTGCAGCAGGTCTCTGTGTGAGTCTTGGGACGGTCAAGACAGATTCAGATTCTTTTTTTTTTTGCCATTTGCAATAAAACCACATTGGAATACATTTGCCACACTGCACGTCCAGGTCCAGGAGAAAGCTAATTGTTAATAATAATTTAGATAATAAAAATCTTCCCTTTGGTCAATTTCAATTTTGAAAAATTTATATACAAGCAAATTGAGTAGTGTATATGTAAAAGTGTATAGGAGACTATTGGTCCTCCCAATTGTCAATCATTCTGGTGATTCGTGCCCGTCAAATAAGACCAGAGAGTTTATTTCTAAAAGGGGAGAGTGCGGTTCTTTCCTAAAATGTTGAATAATCCTCCTATAAACCTTTAACATGTCGTCTGGCTCGGTTCTTTCTCTTCAGCAACTCCAGCATGAGGTTTCTCAATTGTATACGCATTCAAATAATCAAGATCTATTGATATTTTTTAGCACAGAAAAGCAAAAACAAGAAAACAAACGGACAAAAGTTGTTATTCTGCCACAGATTTGATATTGAAATCTGATATCACACTTACCAGCCCTATTTTTCTTTTCATATCTGTCTTTGTTCCTTGCCTCTGCCTCTCTAACTGACCTCCTCTTGTGCTCTCTGCCTGTTTGTCCAGATCAAACCTTTGTGGACTCTAGCAAGTACTCCTCCGCCAGCTCTCTACAAGGACTGGCCTTCTCCTGAAGTACGTGCACTCGCTCTAACACCTCTGCATGTCTTCACTCTTCTGCCCAACTTTGTAGTGCCACAACTTGATACTAACAAACAGACTCCATATACTCCACGGTAGTGATTGAAACATGCTATTTCTGGATAAAAAGCTGCAGGTAACACATTCTGGTGATAACATCTAATCCAGTTCAGTGTTTTCCCACTCATGTGATTTCTTTTTAGTATCTCGTTATAGTATGGGTACTTTTGCTACCTTGTACTACACTGAAAATATGACATCCAGGTGAGTTTAAACACCTTGGATCCCAAACAAAGTGAGCATTGACGAATCAGATGCAGGGCTAATCTAAAAACACAATTCCAAGTGAAATTATCTACAAATCTACCTTTTTTGATTATTATTTTAAGTCCAAGCTCTTTTTAATCATCAGTTACAAATACTTATAGTCACTGTACTTCAATACATTTTTATTAAATAATTAGTCTAATCCATGACTTTGAGAATACTTATTAGTTACTTAGACTACAGTTATTCCCAAAATACATACTAGATGTACATACAAGGGGTATGTCCATCAAGCTGGTGGAGGTCCTGGTCCTGGTGCTGGTCCTGGTGCTGGTGCTGGTCCTGGAGCTGGTTTCAGAACAATATAGGTTTGTTTTTTTTTCACTCAAAATGTATTGGAACCTGGTGCCAAAAATTGGCCCTTACTTGGTCTCAGTTCAGACTAGGACCAAAAATGAGAACTTGTTCTGGGGAAATACTAACGCAAAAAATTATATTTAATAATTCAAGATGGCGTTGCAGATAATTGCCACAGCTTTATATCTTTTTAAGAAGATTTTTGTATGCACTTTTTTACATCTATTATTCACCATGTGGCCCTCAGGAGGAAAGGTTTGCCCATGTCTGGTTTAAACAAACAATTCAGACGAGCTTTTTGAATGTGGACTGCACAGAAAGGCACTTCCTTTAGTGTCAGGACTCAAACAGGAAATGCTTTTGATAATACATTCTTCAACACGTAGATCTGAAGTGATGAGGGTTGGGTGTGGGAACTGGATCCTCAAAACAACAGCTGATGTGAACACAGAGCAGGCGGCGTCAGGGAGGGGCTCTGTGGTCCAAACACGTCACTGTTACTTTAAAGGAGACATATTATACACATTACAACATTATTCTTTCATCCATAACACACACTGGGACTTCTCTGACACAAACACATCATACCCCTCACCACTTCTGTCTGAAAGCTCTGTTTTCTAACTCGACATGCTTTGACGAATCCTTGACACAGCTTATTGCATTACTTAAAGCTTGGATACCTAACTTTTTCCCAATAAATAGATGTTAAAGAGTCCAGAGAATCAAACACAGGAATTGCCATAATAACAAACACATAGAGCCTTTGATCCATAAGGGGCAGATGACCAATGTCCATAAATGTCCATAAATCCTTCACGGATCACCACCACTGTCCTTAGACCCTCCTGACTTTTGCATATTTGTGAGAAAGAGCCCTGTGAGTCAGTATTTTGGAATTCACCAAGCATTGGATTGTCCACGCACTAATAGGGAACGTGTGATGGGTTCAGACCGCCATGAGACAGGTTAGTTTTACCACTGATGATGTGTTGTTGCGATACTAAACTTTTGGGCTGAGAGTGGGGGTTCTCGCTCCTTTTCACTTTTCTGTCTTAAAAATCTGATTTAAAGCTGTGACAGAGGCTAAACGGTTTTCCGAGCGAAGAACTAGCACCACGGTTTTGATCCCATAGTTCAAATTTGTTGTGGTTTGAGAGTCAGGTCCCCCAGCTTTTAATACCCCCTCGGCTTATTCATATCACATTAACATTGTTTATTCAAAGCCCAACTTCCCATGATTCAATACCAACTTTTATACATTTTTTTCTTTTCGCTCCCGTTCTTTCCACGCTGGCCGCTCCCTGGAGTTTAACAAACACACACTACACACAGCTGTTCCCAGGCCTGTTTCAAAGACATCGTTTTGACTCCTGCGTGATTTATCCCCCGATGGATGGATGTTTTAAATGTCACCCAGCTGCACGACAGGGACAGAATATTTACAAGACTTTATTTTCATTTTTTTACGAGTCGAGAAATATTTGGCAACATTTTGTAATCCTCACTCTCTCTGTCTTTTTCTCTCTCTCTTTCTCTTGTGTACAGCTATCCCAGGAATGATCGTCCCGCCCATGTGAAGGTGGACCGCGTGGATGTGGGGGGTGGAAACTTATAGGAGCGAGAAGACTCCGGTATTTTGCGGGACATGGGAATCGTCTCGTCTTTTTTTGAAGGAACTCAAACTCAACTCAGGCCCTTTCTATCCAAACAACTACAACATTAACACAAACACGGGAGCGAATGTTGTCTCGAGACTTTTACACGTTTTATAGGACAAGCTCTCGATCCACAGACTGTAAACAGGAAAAAAAATTATTTATTTTGGAGGGAATCTGCTCCCCGTCTCGAGCGGATTTCACTTTTTTCGTGCAACATTTTAAAAAGAAAAGTGTGATAATCATAAGTGTAACCTAAAAGTGAAGGGGGTTTTATTTATGAAGGAGAAAATGTGAAGACATGATGGAATGAACCGGGTCAAATCCTGAAGACCCACAGAGACAAAACAGAATCTTATCATTTGCCAAACATATATTTTTACTTTCTCTCACCACATACACATACATTATCCAATCACTGAAAAGTAGCTCATTTAGTTTGAAATCACTTGTATTTGTCCCACAGTGAGAACCTTCGAACAAATCTCTGGTCTTTTCTCTATTTTGTTTATATAACTGTTTTTAGATGCATTATTTCAAGGCCTGACAATTAATGACGGATGACAAAGACAATTCAAAACAAAGATTATGCCCCAACTACAAACAAAAATGTTCTCTGCAAACAAAACACCATACAGGCATCAATCAGTATCAAAAAAGGCAAAACACGAGGATGGACAGACCAGAGACCAGAGACGGACCAGACACTGAGAGACCAGAGACAGAGAGACCAGAGACAGACCAGACACTGAGAGACCAGACAGAGACAGACCAGAGACAGACAGACCAGAAACAGAGAGACCAGAGACAGACAGACCAGAGACAGAGAGACCAGAGACAAAGAGACCAGACACAAAGAGACCAGACACAGACAGACCAGAGACAGAGAGACCAGAGACAAACAGACCAGACACAGACAGACCAGAGACAGAGAGACCAGAGACAAACAGACCAGACACAGACAGACCAGACACAGACAGACCAGACAGAGACAGACCAGACACAGACAGACCAGACTCACTGGCCTTTTATAACTTTGTTACCTCCGGAATAATTACCCTTACACCCTTATCTAGATTATTTCAAAAACTACACAGCAATGTTAAAGCTGGGGTAGCTGACTTTTTCGTCCATAAATAACACCTTTTATTGAACAGAATGAGCCCTGTAAATGTAGAATGTTCACTTCAAGTCTCATTTTAAAAACAAAAATACATCAGATATTTTGTATTTATATCTGGAATTTACTGGTATTTAACCAGTAAAGTCCTATTGAGATTTTTAAGAGGCAGCAAACGTTCCTCCATATATGAATGCTTTATCCAACCCTTTCCTGTATCCGTTGCTGGGTTGGACAAAGACTTCTACACCATAAGTTCCTCTGTTTCTTCTCAAATAATAATTTTTTTTTTCTCTACTCGTGTCTCTGTGACGTGTCTCAGAATTTGACCCTCTGCCACAAAAGCCCTAGGTCTAAACAGGACTGTCTTAAACCCGCTGCCGCTCACACTTCTGTCTTAACCCGTTTGTTTTTGCCGTGGTCTTTCCCACTTTGGTGAGGTGCCATTCACGTTGTGTTTCTCTCACTTTGCTCGTTTTAATTTCAATTTCAACTTTGTGTCTTAAAGCTGCGACAATGTCTTAAAAAAGCAGTCTTGAAGCTGGGGAGCGCCATTTCACTTCATATCAGGCACACACAAGTTTTCTCTCCTTTGATATGTTTGTTATTAAATGCAATATCATTTTATCTCAAAGTAATCCTCTTCCTAGTTCAGGTGAAACTCAGAAAATTAAAATATCTTTCTCAGTACAGTATTGGCTGGACTACAAGCTGTTGCTTTTGCTCTTGTCCAATGTATGTATGTTCATCTTGTTAGATCCTCCTGGGGTTTTAAAAATAGTTATAAATGTATCTTGTTACATTATTTGGACTATTTCGAAGAGCTAGTAGAGATGGGAGGCATGTCTATTGTCAAAAAAGATCCACCAGAGGGTTTGGACATCACGAGTCAACAGAGGGAGTTCAAATAGTCATTTCTCTGCTTTGTTTTGCTCCTTTAGCTGTTGGTTAAGCTTCACATTACAACATGAATCTCAATGTATTCTTGTAGAGCCCTAAATCACAACAGTATTGATCTCAGAGGACTTTACAAAGCAACACGCCAACTCAGATCAAAGAATAACACAGTTCAAACATAAGAAACAAAACGATAACAAACACATAACGGTCCATAATGGTGATAAAAACTGTGGCTTATATTCAGGTGAGGCCTATACGTGGACAAAACGTTACTTACTCTTCAAATTTTAGCCGTTGCGATTCATTTGCAGGTGCACTTAGTCGTCCAGCACGTACTGTCGTTCTGTCATTTAACTTGTGAAACTGATATGACAGATTTATTACATGCAAAGTGAGAAATATCAAGCCTCGTTTTGTTCATAGTGTTGACTATTGTGGCTCACAGATGTAAAAACCCACAATCATCAACATTTTTATTACAAAGGCATTTGTCACTTTACAGGTAATGAGTCTCTATGGTATAAAAGTTTCACATTTTAAAATGAAATACGGAAATAAATGAACTTTTTAGCAATATTAAAATACTAAATTTTGTGTGTTTTGCCTGTTTTCTTAATGGGAGAGAAAACAGTCTGGTACCTCAGCTTCAAGATCGCCGTCATGAAATTAGGCTTAACGAACCATTTTGTCGATTCAAACAACTTGAGGTAAACATTTTGACATTTCATTAATACAAGGAAATGTTGAATTTCTCTACAGTTTCTTAAATGTCTTAAAAAATAGACACAGAGCAATAATGGATCAATGGATTTTTTTATAGCAGACATTTCTACTGGAGAAGGCTGAAATTGCATTCAAATTCTCTAAAAACCACTATTACCAGCTTGAATTCTTACAGTATATTTGTGATCCTAACTGATCCTTTGTGATTTCTAACGTGGAGAATGCATTGATCTGTTTTTGGTCTCGTGTCTCTGGTCTTAAAGCAGCAGGAGTTTGTGTTTCTCACTGTTTGAAGTGATTCAAGTCTTAAAACACTTTTGATTTCATGCCAAAGTTTGATTTGTTGATTTGCCTGTAGCTCAGTCTTATGCCACGTACTTTTGCCATAACCGGTTTGAACCAGCTCACCCATAATGTCTTTGTCGTTACGTTAAGTGTGGAGCCAAAAGATCAAAACGTGAATTGCTTAAAAAATTATTGATTTAGATGCGAGTTTTATCCGAAAAGCATGAAATTCCCACATCTGTCTCTGTCTGTGTCTAAAGTTGTGGCAATGTTCTTGTTAAAAGTCGAGGTCATCTACTTTTTGGACAACTATAAAACCAACCAAAATGCAAAAAGCCACAGATAATGAGTAAAAACTTCTAAAATTTGGCTAAATGTAGCTTAATTTGAGCACATTCTGCCTAAAAACAAGATTTGCCAACGGGACAAAGCAAAATGATCTTGTTTGAAAGATATTCAAGAAATGTCTCTCTTGGAATGAAAAAATAAAGCAACAGTTTTGGTGAATCTTGTTTTAAGACTGAAGTCAGAATTTACTCAAAATAAGATAAAAACCACTCAATTCATTAATACCTCATTAATAATCTTTGTTCTCTGGAACTATGTGATTTTAACGACAAACTTTGAGCCATTGTGGCCAATTTCCCGTTCTCCCGTTCACGTTTCATCCTCAGCCAAAAGGATCCTGTGTCGCCTCTGCATACTTTCACTTTTGTTTTTACTGTTGCACAAATGATCAACAAAAGCCATGTAATCTGTGCGTCTGGAGTTTTGGCGTCGTGTCCCATGTTGTTCCGAGCTGTAGCATGGTTTTGTTGGACTTTAGCGCTAGATTTTACAACATGTCTTTGAATGTCTGTCTTCCATGTTTCGGCGGAACTGAGGCGGAGCCAAGACACAAACACATTCTTACCTTTATTTGTTTTATTCCATCCATCCGTACATTTGAACCTCATTTTTTATTTTCACTATACGTAATATCTCCCTAATTCTGTTTTATAAATGGGTGTTCCAACTTCTGTTTCTTTTCTATCTCTCGACCAGCACTTTCCTATATTTCTCGGACTTACAAACTTTTCACATCACCCCAAAGTATTATTATTATTATCAAAACATCAGAAAACACAGGATCTAGATTCTAAACCATGAAGAAGGAACCAGATTAGGATTAGGACCAGGATTATACCAGATCTAATGATTTAGATCCAAATGTATAAGGCAGAAAGAGCCCAGAATAACTCTGCTTGAAATATTCTAGCCTTTTATTTATTAGAAATTGTTATTATTATTATTTACCAAAAATGTCAAAAAATACAAAAATGGGCTTGAATTAGGAAAATTATTTATGGATTAATAGTTTATTTGCGCTCGTAACAATGTAACAAGAAGCTTTAGTCTTTAAGTCTTTCGCCGCAGCTTTGTCTTTCCTCATTCCAACAGAGAAAGTTCTTGTACTTTTAATATTTTAAGTGAATTAAGTCGTTTTATGCTTGTTCCATTGGTAAAAATAATCATATCAAGATGAAAGCACTTATTTTTTTGCATGTGTTTGCTTTGTAGTCCTCGATATAATCCAGGTTTCGTCCCAGTTTAGTTATAAAAAGAGTCGATCCACCTCTCCACAGATATGACCTGTAACTTCACAGAGAGAGTGAAGGGAAAGTGGCCACGGCTTTGAAACCAGTGATTATGGACCTGCCATTTCCAGAAGCTAGTACGTACACCTCTGTTTGAGAATCACACCATTTCTTTGACCTATTTCCCTTCTTCTATTTCTCTTCCCTCCTCACACCCCCTCAGCCCAGTGCTCTGTGTTGAATGTGGCTCTTAAAGAGACAGAGACGTAAAAACATGAGCAGAAGTTTGAAAAGGAGCGAGATGTGTTTGTGTCGAAGCTCTCGGCCTCAGTTTGTGCGTCTGTTTGTGCGTCTGCAGCAGCGCAGGTGGAGAGAGAATGAACTACTGTAAAGATGATGCAGTTTTTTATCATTATTTTGAACTTTGAAGTGTAAGATAAACTTTTTGACTCTCACTATATTTAATTAAAGTTTTCTCTTCTCTGTGAAAATGACTGTGATCTGATTATTTATCTTCGTTTGTCAATATTTTTGTATTTATTCATAATTTTGTGGCACCAACTGCATACTGCATATGAAAGCCAGACCCTATCAGACCTCGGAAGCTAAGCAGGGCAGGGCCTGGTTAGTTCTGTGATGGAGACCTCTGGGAACACCTGGTGCCACAGTGGAGCGACTGTTAGAGTTAAATTGTCATTGTGTCCTTAAGACACTTCACCCACATTTCCGAGTATGAGTCTGGTGCGGACATGTATAGTCGGTGGTGGCCGATGGCACATACTGGTTTCCTCACTTCTGTGCCCCAGGGCAGCTGTGGCTACAGTTGTAGTTTATCACCACTGTAGTTCCATCACAGGTTAATCAGGTTAAATCTAAACTAACTCTTTACAACAACACACTGTTCCACCCAAATATACAAATACAATGTTACGCACTTGATATGTTTCTAGATTCCTAAAACACGAAACGTAAGTAAATATTCATAAAACTCACCAAAAAAAAACGTTTTAAAAACTCATCATGTTTAATGCCCAAAAATGATGCCTAATATTTATGTTTTAAAGTGAAAATGATCGTTCTGTAAACACACTTGTTTAGATCAATAACAATTGGATATCTGCATTTTACTTCCTGGATACAGCCCCGCCCACAATCCTTTAACAATTGTAAACTGTTTTGTGACTCTGGTCTGTGAAAGGCGGTATATAAATAAAGATTACTTACTCACTTACTTACTTTATTCTTCTTTCCTCTCAGACTTGTCCTCCTATGCTCTCCCCCACTCCCCCCTCTGCCTTTTCTCCTCACTCTCCTCCCTCTTCTCCCCCCCTTTGCCTCCTCTCCCCCCTCTCCCCCGCTACCTCCTCTCCCCCTCTGCCTCCTCTTCCACCTCTGCCTCCTCTCTCTCCTTTCCCCACCTCTGCCTCCCCCCCCCCCGCCTCCTCTCACCTCTGCCTCTTCTCCCCCTCTGTCTCCTCTTCTCACTGTCCTCCCTCTCCCACCTGTCACCCTCTTCCCCCTCTGCCTCCTCTCCCTTTCCCCCCTCTCCCTCCTCTCCACTCTGTGTTGTGGCCTTCAGCTGAGGCCTTGTTTGGTTCATAAACAATAACAAACAGTTCTCTGGTGTCCACAGAGACCAGGGGTAATGAGACAGATGAGACCTGCCCTCGGGCTCCTCGCGGTCGCTTCAGGGGACACCACAGAACAGGACGTCCCACCACTTACCGCTGCCAAATCGCTGCCCTTTTTCTGCCCGTCACGTTTGTGTGTTGGGCAGGAGTGTGTTTTTCCCAGTTTTTTGCCTGCGGGCGAAATTTCCGTACTACAGCACACGGTGATTTACATACTCTCTTGGTGTGCGTCCATGATTTGTGTATGCGCTTTGTATAAGTGTGTGTAGTGTGTTTTTCCCAGTTCCTTGCCTGGAGGCTTAATCAAACTGAAGCCACAGATGTCTTATTGACACCAATTAGTTTGTGTCTCTTGGCTCTTTTTCCTCTTTCACACATACACACACAAGCACTACACCTACGCACACACTCACACACACAAGCACTATACCTACACACACACAAACACACATTCTCAAAATGCACACACGCAAGCACAATCCCTGCGCACACACATTCATAATATTCACAAACACAAGCACTATATGTATGCTCACACACATGCACTATACGCATACATACACACACACGCACACACAATATGCACACACACACAAACACACACAAAAGAGGAGCTACTATATTTAGAAAAGGTCCAAAGATCCTTTATTCTCCGCACAGAGGACATTTCATTGTTGCCATACACAGCACAGAGCAGGTGGAATAGTGAAGAATAGAAGGAACTAAAATTCTCAACTATAATCTGTTTGCTTTGATGTCAGGTCACAATAGTAATAATAATAATTAAAATAGACACAATATCCATAAAATTTATGTTTATTATTTTCAAGTAAATTATCCAATCAGTGAGCAGAACCAAGCTGTGATTTGGGTCGCCAATGAGGTGAGGAGGTATATTTAAGACTTTTGGATTGCACTCATTAAGAACACCAACCCAACCACCGCCATCACTTCATCCATCCATCCATTTTCTTCCCCTTAATCCATTTCTGGGTCAGGGGGGTGGCAGTCAGAGCTTCACCCAGTCCACATAGCACCAGCCCCTCACTGACCCTCCTGCAGGTGGTGAGTCCACAGGAGCTGAGATCTTTCAGAGGGGGCTTCAGGCAAAGTGGGGTTAAGTGTCTTGCCCAAGGACACAACGACAGCAGTCATCAGTGGGAGTCGTGAAGTAGGTCTTGTGGTGGGCTCGAACCCATGACCTTCAGGTTCAAAGGCCAATGCTCTACCAACTGAGCTACTATAGCCCCTCCGCCGTCACTCACTCACCACATTTACTGCGGCATGTTTTGGATGACTGGGGAAACCGGAGCGCCCGGAGGAAACCCACCTAGACACACGGACAAACATGTTCACACTACAAATTTGGCCCAAATGTTCAAACCCATAATCTTCTTGCCGGGAAAATGATAACTGGCTTTTTTGATCAAGTTACAGTCATTAGTCACTGTTTAGTTTGTACCATTTTTAAGTGTTTGATTTGTACCATACCTTAATGGATTTTTTTTCTGGCAATAATTTAAATTTTAAAACCGGTCGATTTTCAAACCCTTCAGTTCGTCCTTCTTGTCAATCAGTGTTTTCCAGAATCTCGAAATGAAGAGCGAGGTGTTGTGTCCATTAGCTAAGTGCTCTTTAGCTCCTCACGCTTAGAGCAACAACCCCAAAGAGACACAGGACGTACAGGTGCACTTTAGTCATCCCCATGGGGCAATTCATCCTCTGCATTTGGCCCGTCCTTATGCCACTAGGGGGCGTCTGTCAGGAGAAGTGGTCGCCGTAGTAACAGCGGCCGGGAAAACCATCTCTAAACGGCGATGCTCGGCTTGGTCAGGACTACGGCAGCTGGGGAATTTACCTATTGTGCATGTTTTTATTGGTAGGGGAAACCGGAGCACCTGGAGGAAACCTACGCAGCACTGGGAGAACAACAGCTACACACAAATACGTCACCAACTAGCTCTAGTTTACAGTGATCCAGATACAAACAGATTCATTGGATAACTGGTATGTTTTTGTTTTTATCCATTTTGTATTGTTTTTACTTCACACATTATAATTGTTTGACTTATTCTATAAAGCTGGAAAACCCGTGTATTTAAATGTGTTACTTTTATCTCTCTGCAGCATTTTTGAAACTTGAAGTAGATTGTCCCACTTATGAAGTTTGATGAAAATTATCTTTAAAAAACAGTGTTTAAAAATGTAACTTACTCTTTCTATAACAGACAAACAAACAAACTGATTGCATGACTCTACCCCTGGTCCGAGGTAAGTCGCTTTTAATCATTGGACCACATAACTTAGAGTCTAAAATAAAGTAAAAATATCCATAAAGATTCAAGCAGCAGGTGTGTGTAAATGTGGGAGTACAGACCCAGTGCATTATGGTTCACGTTAAGTGGAAGACGTCACTCTGCTCTCCTCTCAAAGACACTTCCAACGCTCTTTCCTTCTCTCCTTTCGCTCACGTCGAGGCTGAAATTGAGCTGGGACCCTCCGACAATCCTCCAAACAATTATCTCCATCTCCCACGTCCTTCTTCCCATCTCTGTATTCACGCCTCACCTCCTTCTCTCTCTACTCCTCCTCTTCCTCTCGTCCTCGTCCTCCTCTTCCTCGTCTTCTCCTCTTCATCTCTCTGTGTGGAGATTCTGACAGTCGCCGCGGTTACAGACGGCTGTCAGAAAGTGTGCGTGTGACAGGCCGCACCACAGGACATCTGACAGAAACGCACCATTGTTTTGTGTTTTAGGAAATCATTCAAATCCATAATGGGTTTTGAGCTGCATCTGAAATGTTTCCTGAAATGAAACTGATGGAGGACGTTTATTGGTCAAGAATGAACTATGTCCCTGATACTGCACAAATGGCTTGAAAATGGATTTGTTGGATTATAAAGAAGCAATAAAACTGAGTGATAATGGATGGAAAAATCTATGGGTTTTAAAAAAGTGACAAACATCAATAGTTATAGTTAGTTAATAGCAATTAACTGATTTGACCAATTCATTGACACAAATAAACAGCTTTATTATATGACTTGGATCGTACGCGCGCTCTGATTGGCTGATTTGCGGTCTGATATTTTCCCATCTCGGACCGTCACCATGACAATTGGTCCGCAGCGCGAATCAGATTTGATATCTTTCCTCGGTAAAACCAAAATAATGAGCATTCTCCTAGTGAATTCTAATATCCGGATGAGTTCGAAAAACCAGAGGAAGTAATAACAGCAACTCCTAACATTCAAGAAGAGATTAACAACTTCGTTACAGATAAGAAAGGTAAAAACACGATTAGGAAAACCAAGTCGGACATGAACATTCTTCACAAATATCTAAAAAGCATCGGTAAAGACACAGAAGAGACTGAGAACTTACCAGCGGGCGACCTCAATCATCTGAGAAGTTCTTCATGTTACCATTTGACTGTTTGGTTGCATGTGTTTTTGCTAGTTGAAACCGATCAATATTTGCATAAATTAAAAACAGTCATATAATAAAACATTTATTAACCTCGCGCTCGTTTAATAAGCCGTTATTATTTGTGAATTAGTGATGATTTTTGTGAGTGATTTTATTTAATTTATTTATTTATTGAGTTTGGACAATGCACATTCATCAACATTGATGCCTTTAGCGTCAGTGTAAATGCCCCGGACTTAGCACAACTGCTAAATTTCAGCCGTAGTCCCAAGGCAGGTCCCGAGGTAAAAGACCAAAAATAACGAGGGCGACAGTGGCTCAGTTGGTAGAGCATTGGCCTTTGAGCCAAAGGGGTTCGAGCCCACCTTAAGACTTTCACCATCAACTCCCACAGTCTGCTGTCGTTGTGTCTTTGGCAAGACACTTAACCTCTGGGAACACCTGATGCCACAGTGGGGCGGCTGCGGCTGTAAAGTGCCAAACTGCCGTTGTGTCCTTAGGCAAGACACTTCACCCCCATTGCCTGTAATGAGTCTGGTGTGTGTGTGAATGGCTGGGGGTGGTGGGAGGGGCCGATGGCACATACTGGTTGCCTCGCCTCTGTCAGTGTGCCCCAGGGCAGCTGTGGCTACAGTAGTAGTTTATCACCACCGTGTATGGAGTGAATGAATAATGACATGTGAAGCGTCTTTGAGTGTCCAGAAAAGCGCTATATAAACCATGCATTATTATTATTATTATTATTCATAAATTAATACTTTGCTCAACAGATCACACAAAACAGAAAACAAACGGACAATATCAAGGTGATGGTTAATTCATTCATGTTTGTTTACTACTTCTTCTAATCCTTTCAAAACTGCCTATTGCAGTTTTTGGAGATGAGTGGAAGGTAGACCATAGAGAAGGCTATTGCAGTCATCGAGTCTGGAGGTGATGAAGGCGTGGATTAGGATTTCTTCAGTGGATGTTGCGAAGGTGGAAGAAGGATGTTTTGGTTCTAGTTTATGTGTGGTTTGAATGTAAGGGTGGAGTCAAGTATAACAGGAAGTGACAGAGTGGCCATTGATGGTGAGGGAGATGTTATGGGCAGAGGGGAGGAGGGATTTGGGTCCGGTGAGGATGAGTTCTGTTTTATTGCTGTTGAGTTTGAGAAAATTGTAGTCCATCCATGTTTTGATGTCAGCAATGCAATGTGTGATGGTGAAGAGGATGACTGGGGTGATAGATTTTGTGGAAATGTAAACCTGAGTGTCATCCGCAAAGCAGTGGAAATTAAATCCATGGTGACGAACGATGCGGCCAAGGGGAAGGATGTAAATGATGAAGAGGAAGGGGCCGAGTACCGAACCTTGAGGAACACCAGTGGAGACAGGGGAGGTATTGGACTTGACATTGTTTAGTCAAGTCCAATAGTGGTGTCAATAGTGGTGACGGTCGGTGAGGTAGGAGGAGAACCAGGAGAGTGCTGTGCCGGAGATGCCGATGGACTGGAGGCGGTGGAGAAGGATTCTGTGGTTGATTGTGTAAAACGCTGCACTGAGGTCGAGGAGGAGGAGGATGGAGAGTGAACCAGAGTCAGCGGCAAGGAGGAAATCATCAGTCACTTTTAGGAGTGCTGTTTCTGTGGTATAGTGTGGGCGAAAACCAGATTGAAATGTTTCGAATAGTGAGGAGTTGATAAAATATTGCTGGAGTTGGGAGATGATGGTGCGATCCAGTATTTTTGACAGGAGTGGGAGGTTGGAGATGGGTCTGAAGTTGTCCAGCTTGTCGGGGTCCAGGCCGGGTTTTTTCAGGAGGGGTGTGATGGTGGCGAGCTTGAGTGTTCATGAGGGCGGCTGGGACGGGGTCGAGGTGGCAGGTTTTCATTTACATGTCTGTGAGGAGTTTGGTAGTGTCAGTGGCAGATAATGGGCAAAAGAAGAAGAAGGTTGAGGGGAAGTTCTGGAGGGAGATGAGGTGTAGCAGATAATTATTGAATTTTTCTGAGGTGAATGTGGAGGGGATGCTGTCCTTGGGTTTGGTGAGTTGAGCGAAGGTGAAAAACAGGGTACGAGAGTTTGAAGCATTGGAGTGTATTATTTGGGAGAAGTCATTTGAGCGGACAGTGTTTAGAGCTGTGTCGGTGTGGTTTGATTGAGCGCAATGTAGTCTCATGGTTTTTGCCAGGTTTCAGTGAGACTTTTAGAAGAAGACTTTTATTGTTGATTGACCGGGTGTTAATAAGGGCTGTCTTGAGGGGCTTTTGTTGTGAAGTGGGTGCGGCGGAAGTTGAAACAGGGAGGAGGTTGAAGTATGGCATGAGACCGTTGCGCAGATGACATATGCGGATGTTGTTGTTTTGCCGGTATCCAAGATGGTGCGTGCTGAGGTCAGAACAGAGCGTGGGAATGATGTTTTCAGAGGTGGAAATGGAGGTAATTCTATGGCGCGAGCTACGATGGATGTACGAAGGACGTCGGAGGAGGGAGAGCTGTTTAATGGAAGTTTGAGGGAGGAGCGCGGTGGTTCAGTTTGAGGAGCTGCATGGACGTGTACCGGAGTGCCATTGCTGGATGCAGGATAGTGGCGTGAGGTGACAGTATGGTCAGCAGACAGGTGGCTAAAAGCGGCAGCATGACTGGCAGACTGCTCCGGAGTGCCTAGAGGCCGGTGACCTGGTTGTAGGCCGCTGCTTGGAGCAGTATACAGCGAGGCCTGGCCATGTCGGCGACCCACGGGCGTTAGCTGATTAGTCACTGTTGTCAGCGGCACGGCGAATGACAGGTACTGTCAGAAGGAACAGGATCCGTGCAGAACCACTGTGAGGTAAAAAATTTAAAATCTGTTCAAAAATGCAAACAAAAAAGTGTTTTCCCGTGTGGAGAAGCGGCAGCCAACGCACGCCAGCGTCCTCTCGCACAGCAAACGAATCCATATTTCCATATCCAGAGTCATGAAACCAAACCTTGAACAGTTGTCTGATCTTCACCCGCTAAAATGTTCTATAGTTGATCATAATAATAATAATGCATTGGTTTTTGGACACTCAAAGACGCTTTTATTTTACTATTCTTTTACTCCACACACAGTGGTGATTAACTACTGTAGCCACAGCTGCCCTGGGGCACACAGACAGAAGCGAGGCAAATAATATGTGCCATCGCCCCTTCAAGCATCACCAACCTTTCACAAACACAACAGACTCATTCTAGGCAATGTGGGTGAAGTGTCTTGCCTCAGGACACAACTGTTGGCACTTTACAGCCGCAGCCGCCCCACTGTGGCATCGGGTGTTCCCGAAGGTCTCCCATCACAGTAATAACCAGGCCCTGTCCTGCTTAGCTTCAGAGGTGTGACAGGATCTGGCTTTCACATGCAAGTATGACCACAGAAATGTAATTACAACAGAATTCCAAACCTAAACACACCCATGAATGATGACATCGCCGCATTCTCCAATAAGGCCGTTACATACGAGCGCCTCATGACATCACCACCGCCGTCCGCCATCTTTGTTGTGAAGGGCTCATGTTGCATATTCTCCATAATCCTGGAGTCCAGCTGAGCGCTGTTATAGTAAACGTTCACACTATTTACAGTCTATATATGGTTCACAAATCACACAAGCACCTACAAGTTGGAAACCAATATGGAACTAAAGATTTACCTGAGATCTTTAAAACAAAGAACGAGGCTTTCATTGTTTTCTATTTGGATGAAACTTTATAAAACTGGACTGAACCAGGATATCAGCTGGTTCGGGCGGCACGGTGGCAGAGTGGATAGCACTCTCGCCTCTCAGCGGACCAGGGCCTTTCTGAGTGGAGTTTGCATGTTCTCCCCGTGTCTGCGTAGGTTTCCTCCGGGTACTCCGGTTTCCCCTACCACTAAAAATATGTCCAATAGTTCTGGCATGTGCCTCCTGTACTGACCCCGCTCCCATCTCTGTGTGGAGTGAGAGACAAATGCCCAAAATTAACAATTGTAAACCGCTTTGAGACTCAGATCTGCAGTGAAAAGGCGGTATATAAATAAAAACTTACTTACTATATCACTGGCCTTCTTATTGCAGAACATTATTGAATCAGACATGTTATGAGGAAACTGATGTTTGTGCAGCAGGTCTTTTGAAGGTTTTCTAAATTTATATCATATGTATTAAAATATGCTTTTTTAATTTCATTGACCTTTATTTGCAAGACAATCAACCCCACTTTGCCTGAAGCCCCTGCTGAAAGATGAAGGCTCCTGTGGACTCACCACCTGCAGGAGGATCAGTGAGGGGCTGGTGCTCTGTTGACTGGGTGCAGCTCTGACTGCCACCCCCCCAACCAAGAAATGGATTAAGGGTAACAAAATGGCTGGATGGATGACCTTTATTTAATCAGGAAACAAGTCCCACTGAGATATAAGAATTTCTTTTTCTGGGGAGTCATGGGGGGCTCCTGTATTACTGTTTTTAATGGTAAGGAAAATCTGAGCACCTGCACAAAATGTACACAGACACAAGGAGAACATGCAAACTACACACTGCACACTGTGTCTTATTAGATTAAGAGGTGGAATCGAACCAATTGAACCCAGCACCTTTTTGATGAGAGGCAAGAGTGCTAACCCTTAAGCCTCCGTGCCAATCATTAAAATTATGTTTTTGTGAACTATTTCACAAACTTCATTTTACAAACGCGAAAGTAGTGAGTTACATAGAGCCTCATGTTTTTCCACAAGTTAATATCACTGTGAAGGTCTTCCATGATTACTTACAAGTACTTAGAAGTTTAAGAACCTGACATGCTTAGAATCAATGACACGAAAATCTCTTAAGAAAAAAAACAGTGGAAGTTGCCTTTATTTCATTCAACAGAGAAAAAGCTGCAACGTCAAAGAGAAACCACTGAGAATCGACTGTTGACATTCACACTGAGCGTCTTGACCGAGCCCAGTGCAGCGTTAAGGCCTCGCACTCGCACAATAACATAACACTCAAAAATCTCTCATACAAAACCGCAATCATGTCATCCATTCGTCTTTTCACACTCGGATCTCCGCAAAGTGTTCTTCTCCTCGTGACCGTCCCACGTCCGGAGAGAGAGAGTCCCACTCCCTCCGATTTCGTGTTTGGGGAAAGGGAGTGAATCAGGACTAGACTTGTTGCAACACAGAGACTTTACACCGTTGATCTCTATGCTACATCGCTAACAAAACAATCCTCCATTTGGATAACAGCGCGAAGGCCAGGGATAAACGGGACAGGTCATGCTCTGGCCGTATAATGGCGAGGACTGGGAGGACTGGTTGTGTGTGTTTCGGTTTCAGTCTGTAGTTCACTTGGTGGGGCGCCTGGTCGGCTCCGAGGCCGTGGGGGGAGGAGGGGGCCCGCGTCGGTCCAGGTCCTCGATGTAAAACATGATTAGCTTGCGGCGCTCGTCCGGGACACACTCCAGCACGTGGTAGCGCTTGTCGTTTTGAAGGATCTTCTCCACGTCCTTGAGGTGCTGCTCGGACTCCTGGATCAGCCGCCTCGATCTGTGGAACAAGATGGTGTTAGTTGTTTTATACAAGCGCAATGTACTTTATATTTGTTACAATAATGTAACTAAATGTAATGTGATTATTCATGATTTGAATGACGTGATTTGATAAGCACTAAGTTGCCGCGTATGAATTGTGGTATACAAATGAACTGCTCTTGCCCAAATGGGGCAGTATCAAATGTACAGTGCCTTGCGAAAGTATTCGGCCCCCATTGAACCTTTCAACATTTCGCCACATTTCAGGCTTCAAACATAAAGATATAAAAAGAATATTTTTTGTCATTAATCAACAACAAGTGGGACACAATCGTGAAGTGGAACAAAATTTATTGGATAATTTAAACTTTTTTAACAAATAAAAAACTGAAAAGTGGGGCGTGCAATATTATTCGGCCCCTTTAGTTTCAGTGCAGCAAACTCAGTCCAGAAGTTCAGTGAGGATCTTTGAATGATCCAATGTTGTCCTAAATGACTGATGATGATAAGAATGCACCTGTGTGTAATCAAGTCTCCGTATAAATGCACCTGCTCTTTGATAGTCTCAGGGTTCTGTTTAAAGCGCAGAGAGAACCATGAAGACAAAGGAACACACCAGGCAGGTCCGAGATACTGTTGTGGAGAAGTTTAAAGCCGGATTTGGATACAAAAAGATTTCCCAAGCTTTAAACATCTCAAGGAGCACTGTGCAAGAAATTATATTGAAATGGAAGGAGTATCAGACCTCTGCAAATCTACCAAGACCCGGCCGTCCCTCCAAACTTTCATCTCAAACAAGGAGAAGACTGATCAGAGATGCAGCCAAGAGGCCCATGATCACTCTGGATGAACTGCAGATAACTACAGCTAAGGTGGGAGAGTCTGTCCATAGGACCACAATCAGTCGTGCACTGCACAAATCTGGCCTTTATGGAAGAGTGGCAAGAAGAAAGCCATTTCTCAAAGATATCCATAAAAAGTCTTGTTTAAAGTTTGCCACAAGCCACCTGGGAGACACACCAAACATGTGGAAGAAGGTGCTCTGCTCAGATGAAACCAAAATCAAACTTTTTAGCCACAATGCAAAACGATATGTTTGGCGTAAAAGCAACACAGCTCATCACCCTGAACACACCATCCCCACTGTCAAACATGGTGGTGGCAGCATCATGGTTTGGGCCTGCTTTTCTTCAGCAGGGACAGGGAAGATGGCTAAAATTGATGGGAAGATGGATGGAGCCAAATACAGGACCATTCTGGAAGAAAACCTTTTGGAGTCTGCAAAAGACCTGAGACTGGGACGGAGATTTATCTTCCAACAGGACAATGATCCAAAACATAAAGCCAAATCTACAATGGAATGGTTCACAAATAGACGTATCCAGGTGTTAGAATGGCCAAGTCAAAGTCCAGACCTGAATCCAATCGAGAATCTGTGGAAAGAGCTGCAGACTGCTGTTCACAAACGCTCTCCATCCAACCTCACTGAGCTCGAGCTGTTTTGCAAGGAAGAATGGGCAAGAATTCCAGTCTCTCGATGTGCGAAACTGATAGAGACATACTCCAAGCCACTTGCAGCTGTAATTGCAGCAAAAGGTGGCGCTACAAAGTATTAGCGCAAGGGGCCGAATAATATTGCACGCCCCACTTTTCAGTGTTTTATTTTTTTTTTAGTTTAAATTAACCAATACATTTCGTTCCACTTCACGATTGTGTCCCACTTGTTGTTGATTCTTGACAACAAATGTAATGTTTACATCTTTATGTTTGAAGCCTGAACTGTGGCGAAATGTTGAAAGGTTCAAGGGGGCCGAATACTTTCGCAAGGCACTGTACATACTTTGGCCCAATTTGGTTCAAAGTTAGGCAGTATATAATGATTATAGATATGTTGTCAATACGTCAGAGAGAGAGAGTTGTTGATGAAAATAAATATTGTAGTATGCCGAATATTTAACAATTTTTGGAAGCATTTTGTGGACCAACCAGACAGATAAGAACAGAAGCTAAATGTGGACAAACCTGTAAGTGATGAATTTTGTCTCCTTTAAAAGCGTCCTGAAGTCAGCTTTGGCGGTAATGTACTTGTCTTTGATGTACTCCTCAAATTCTCGCTGCCTTTTCTAAGAGAGAAATAAATATTAGTGAAATGAAAAGCAAATGACTGTAGTTTTCTATTTCATCAGGTTGACGTATAATATGCCAGAAAAGGAGACTATGGCAGAGACTGGCTCATAAAGAACATGGATCTGTGGGGGGTTACTTAGACACAGATAAAACCCGCTTTAGGGCACTGTTAAAACATAACATGGTTCTGACTAACCTGCGTCAGGTCACAGAGAACAAACAGACTCGTAGACCCGAGACGCTAGGTTTGGTCTCTAATGCTTTCTGAGTTGGTTTGCCAACCTAACAGAGGAAGAGGCTTGATTTTTCTCTTGTCATCAATTTAGTTTTCCTTTACTCTCTGAGTAATTACAACAGGACAAACCTCTCATTTCAATCACAACACTTCTGATTACATGCATGAGGATTCTCCAAAGTTCAATAAGTAGCAAAGATTTTACAGATTTGAAATCAAAATCTTACTCTGTCGCTGGATGAAAACTTGATATAGCGAGGGTCCTCCTTGATCACCTTCTTCACCTCCTTCCATGTGGTCGACAGCGTGATCTGAAGAAGAGGAAAGATGGATGAACATTCCGTCTGATTAGGGTGAAAGGTTGCTCAAGGATTTCTACTTAATTTCTTCCAACACAAGAATTATGATCAAAATATATTAAAATATCTTTTACTAAAGTACAATGTTCATGCAATGAAAGAGGACGAAAGTCATAGCATTATAAAGGAGGTCAGTAAAAGTCGGAGGTGCTCGTCAACTTAGAGGTACTTTACAGACTGTGCTGAGGACCCAAATGTACCATTTTATCTGTCAATGTGATAATATTGGTGTCGACAAACATCAGGTTCAGTGCCGCTCAATTTCAGTCCAAGAGGTGGAGACACTGGTATGGCCGTCTTTTAAAGTCATACTTGATTGTTAATTATTGTTTTATTTGTCTGTTTTAAAGTGATAGTCTGTAACTCAAAATTAATTAAAAATTTTAGAAAATGTGTTAAATTGACCTCCTGGCCTTAAATGTTGATATAAAATAAGTCATTTTATTAATTCTAATATTACGGGCAAGTCCCGCCGCAATCGCTTTTTTGTGCATAAAAACATAATTTTTTTCATTAAAACGTTAACAAATAATTCTGAAAACCTCTGTGCATGTGTATTAATAATGTGTACGTATAATGTGTTCTCAGATTAACATTTAAAAGTGTTACGGAAACGTAGGTGTAGACCAATCAGAAAGGAAGGGGGAGGGAGCTTGCGTCGTTATTTTCAAATCAAGCACCTCTCTGTCTCTCTTTCTGACCTAACTCATTGACTGCCAGCCATTTTTGATGACTTCATTGATTTTCAAGACTCACAAAATATTATGTGCTATAATAATGAGAAATTTTAAACCAGATTCTTAAAGACTGGACTGTCAATTTGAGCAGCAAAGAAGAAGTTTGTTTCTAGCTTGTTTCATTCTCCTGTAATCACCAGTTGAAAAGAGTGGAGTGACAGAAAGCACCATTCAGACAAAAAGCTGAGAAGATGTGTTTGTGAAAACAGACGAACCTGCAGAAAAGTGACTGTAACACTATTTAGTTTAACTTTAGCCTCTCGTCAGACATGTCTAGGATCTTACATGTTAGAAAACAGCAAAAACAAGTTATGAGAAAGTATTTTTGATGCAAAATAATACGTTTTATGGCACACACCCACAAAGTGTTGCTCAAATGTTTCAAAAAGTACTCATCCAAAAAACTTCAAAATTTACCGCTCAAACTGCCTCCAAATGTAGCCTGACCCTGACTATATTCCTCCATGCCTGCTTTGCCTCTGTTTCTCCTGCTCAGAGCGCTCAGGCAGTGATCTTTGACCAAGACACCCACAGAGCTCTGCTGCCACCTGCTGGCTCAAAACACTGTCTACAGCCAAACCCCAGACATACATGTATATGATACCGTGGACACAGACGGAGAGGGAAAGAGTGAAAAACAATGAATTTTCATTGTCTTGAATTATTGTGTTCATCGTAGTCAATGAGTTAAGAGTTTTCAAAGAAGTTGAATTGATTAAAATTTAGTATAAAGAACACAAATGGACAGTCACCATATTGGTCTCGTCCAGCAGTTGTCTGAACTGTGTCTTCTTCTTCTTGGCCAGAGCCTCCACGTGTTCGTTGAAGAGTTTCTCCTTCTCCTCTCGCTCCAGCAGCGACGCACACTCCCAGCGGTGGTCCTTCCGCAGGTTACGCCGCGTGTCCGACCACGTGGCATCAGAAGAACGCACCTGGACCAAACAAACAATCCATCATTTAATCATTTCACTGTGTCTGCTGTGCTCCGGCATGCCCTCTGCTGGCCGTGGCCCATTCCTAAAAGACAGGACAAGAAAGTTACACGCTCCGACTTTAATCCGCACAGGACACATATATATTGACACTAGTCAATATATATTCGTTACTCTTTATCTTCATATTTCTCCAACGGGGATCAATAAAGTATCTATCTATACTAACAAGTTTTAAGACCCACTTTTATTCTCTGTCTTTCAACACAACGTAGGTTGTGTGGTTGTCTGCCTTTTATTTAATTTTTTCCAATACATATTTTAGTATTTGTATTCTTTCATGGTATTTTTGTTTATTACATTTCCTATCTCTTTTTGATATTTTATTATAGTTTGTTACACATCAAATTGATTAAATTGGATCTCTGCCGGTTTATGGCGACGCAGAAGCAGCACAGAAAGACCAGTTTGATGCGTTCATTAATTATAACTAAATTAAAGTAAATGAAAGCAGGCGATTAAGGCAATCATTTCCCAGGCCTAAAAGCTGCAGTGTGCTCCATCTTCTCTGGTGCACTTCTCAGGGAGTCACCGGCACACTCACCATATCAGACATGAGGGCTTTGAAGTTCTGGATGGCCTCCTCCTTCTTGTGCTGCTCGCGCTCACGGTCGATCTCTTTGGTCTGTTCGGATCGGGCTTTCTGCACTTCCCTCTCGCGCTCCCGCAGACTGGCCTCGATCCGGGCCTGTCGCTCCAGCTCTCGCTCCTTGTCGATGTCTAGATTCTACACCAAAAGAGACACGGCACATTACACAATATTCATTCGTTGAATCAAAGGAGACACGGTGAAGTGCCTAATGTCAGGTTTTGTCGTCATTACGTAAATGTTTTTTAAAAAATGATGTGCGACGACCCAAACTTGTTCTCAAGTTTAAGATCTGGAGTTTGAGATTAGAAAGACTGCAGTCGACTTAAAAGAATCGCTTTGCCCTTTAACACGTCAGCGGAAACATCGTCAGATCAAAGGCTCCTCTCAGGCCACAGATGAAGTTAGCAATCAGCAGATCATGATGCATGTTGTGTCTCCCTTCACCTCAAAGGTTCGGGCGCGTACCTTTGCCTGCTTCTCTCCATATTGTTTGAACAGTTCTTCTCTTAATGCAGAACTATCCACAGCTTTATATCGAGGGTCGGTCTCCATTTTTTCCTTCACTTTACTCCATCTTTGGTTTCCCTCCACGTGGTGCTCGCTCAGGAGGTCGAAGAAGTCGAGTTTGACCTAAAAAGCAACGGTTTTGTATGAAATGAGAAAGGCCACAAGTGATTCTATCTCAAAACCCAAATTAAATACCTTTTCTCCTTTGTTTTTGGAGTCTTCCTTCTCCTTCTTCCTCATCGCAGTCATAAACTCTACAAAAATGGTCTCTCGATCCTTCATCTTTTCAATGGCCTTAAACCGTGAGTCTCGGCCGTGCTTCAAGCCAAACTCACTAAATGTTGTCCTGTAAAAAGATGGAAAAATTATTCATTAGCTGCCTTGTAACTAAGAAAAGCAGCCTGAAAAACAAGAGCTATTTATTTCATTATTTTCATAAACATTACAAATCTCTGTGTATAAAGTAATTGTAGGACATTGCAACCTGCCCACAACTAGTTAAGATAATACAGTATATCCCTCTAAGGGGAAATGTCAGTGTTGCATCACACAGCACAGAACAGAGGTAGATTCATCTATACAATGGGCATGTATTCATGGGTTCAAAGTGACATTGGTTCTTTGTTTCAGCCATTTTGAGGAGCAGAGGTACCATGCTGTCGGAGCAGTCGGTTGAAGAGCAACGCAACTCAAATCAGGTGACTTCTTCTTTACACAGAGCAACATTTGTCCACATGCTTTGTCAGAACACAGTTTTAAAACCTATGCACAAGGAACAGTGCTAAAAGACGATGACCATCCTGTGCAAGTGAAAATGTGTCTAAGGGGACATTTCCTTTGCAGCCCTGGTGAATTTAGTTTGCAGTAGCACAGGAAGTCCACCACAATGCTGGGGCCTCGCTTAAGCTAGCAATACCCTGTCTGGATAATATACAGTGCAGAGTGAAGTCCTCAAAATGGCTGACAACAAACTGGTCACGTGAGCGAAACCCATGAATAGATGTGACGATTTCCAGTAAACTGTTAACTAACCTTTATGTTTGGATGTAAATGATTGCCGATACCTTGCCGTGAGCTTTGACTCCTCCATCATCTTCCTAAATTCATCTTTGGCCTGCATCAGCTTGTTTTTCTTCTCCTTCCTCTCCTCCTCAGCGCGTGTCTTCACATAAGAGTCGAAAACCTGCAACACCAGCGATCCTTGAAGGCATCTGAGCCGTTTCTGACCGTACTTCACTTTATTGCAAACACAAACCTGTTTTCTTTCTTTCGGGTTGAGCAGAAGGTAGCGCGGGTCAAATACAATCTTATGGAGCTCTTTTTCCCAAGTGGAAAACGCTGAAACCTACACAAGACACAAATTAAGTTGGCTACATTTCCAAACAACATTTTTACTATATATGCATGGCTTTTGACAGCAATTGCACATGGTGAGCTCAGGTCATTAGAAAAGTCTATAAATTGTGTGAGGGAGTTCACTTAATCTAAGAACGTAAGTCCTGGGATCAACAAGGGATGTATGGTAAAAAAAAAAGCATCAAGGGTGAAAAATGCTTTCTGCCTGTAATGCCCTATGCTACCACCAGAGGGACGAGTTGAAGTCTTTTTATACAAACGTCTGCAAACAGTCTTGTGATTGTAAAGAACATCATTTCACTAACCAAAACTATTGTAATTTATGGGAAATACTTGTTGAGACAAAAACTGCTCTCACCGTGATGTCATTGTACCACGATGACATCATACTATTAGAAAGAAGGGGCGGAGTAACAAATTTGTACTAGGAGTTCCGGACAGTAGTGCGGATGAACCTATAAACAACTCCAGGTGTGTTTTGGATGAGGGAAGATGTTGTAACGTGGATAAAACCTCAAAAAAGTTGACTTGCATTACACACGTGTCTTTTAAGAACTATAAAAGTGCCATCCATACGCTTCTCTCCAGCAGCATGTCTTTGAACTGAGTCATCCGAGCCTCCAGGGGCACCACCGCTCGTTCTCTGGCGGCCTTCAGCTCCGCCTCCATCGCCGCGTCCTTTTCGGTTTCTCCGTCTTTGGAGTCGTCCTTCCTGTCGGCGAACAAACCCAAAATTGTCAGTGGAACAAAGCAGTGTAAATGTAACACTGTGAAAAAAACTCGAGGCGCGTCACTCACTTCCTCTTCTTGGCTTTGCTCGGCTCGTCGTCCAGACCATCAGCTGCAAGACCAAGATCCAAATCGCCTTTAATGATACCTTGATAAGTTCAAACCAATATTTCCAGTCAAAAGAGTTACAGGTAATGGTAATATTGCGTGGCATTTTGGCTCGGTCACTTTGGTAATTTTCAACATATTATTGTCATCATGCACCTGCAGCTCAACCACCTCCTCATGAAATCAGTTAACGCCGTTGTCTATCGTCAAGTCCTTTCTTAAGTAAGTAAGTTTTTATTTATATACCGCCTTTTCACTGCAGATCTGAGTCTCAAAGCGGTTTACAATTGTTAATTTTGGGCATTTATCTCTCACTCCACACAGAGATGGGAGCAGGGTCAGTACAGGAGGCACATGCTAGAACTATTGGACATATTTTTAGTGGTAGGGGAAACCGGAGTACCTGGAGGAAACCTACGCAGACACGGGGAGAACATGCAAACTCCACTCAGAAAGGCCCTGGTCCGACCGGGATTCGAACCCAGGACCTTCTTGCTGAGAGGCCAGAGTGCTATCCACTCAGCCACCGTGCCGCTCAACAAACTCAAGTGTGACCTGGATATACAGTATAAAGAAGAAGTGAATACTGTTTTTTTCTGGACTGTAATCTGCAACTTTTGTGTAGCTTTATGAACCCTGCAGATTACATATAGTTTATATGTGTATCTTTAATGTGAGTTGGACTGGTGAATTAGACATGGAAGCTTACCGTTAAGCTGTTAAAGACCTTGTTATTAAATCATGTAAAAACAGTCATTAATCTGCAGTATTACAACAGGAAAACTTGCTGCTTATATTCAAGTGCAGCCTATATGTGGACAAAATGATTCTGGCTTATTCTGGTGCGCCTTATAGTCCAAAAAGAACGGTATGAGTTTTCTTCCACATACTCTTTTTGCTGTCGTTCTGGCCCTTCTTGTGCGGTGGCTCTTGTATGTGTTTGTCCACGTCCATGCGGCCGATCAGCTCGTCGGGCCGGTCCCACATGGAGAGGCGCGTTGTTGGGTTGTAGAAGAAAACGCGGTCGTCCCCGGTCCACACCACACACCACGGCGTTCCAGGGATGGGGTTTGTGGCCACGGGTCGGGCTTTCTGAGCTGCCTTTTCCTCCTCGGTCATCTCCTCCTCTTTAGCCTGATGGAAGGAAACAATACCCAGCTTAGACTTGTATGTACTGCTACTGCCTGTATTTTCTTCTTCTTATCTTTAGATTTATATATTAATTTTTGAACAAATAACTTTCTAAAAGGACCAAAATCAATGTAATTCTCAAACTTAAAGTCTGTTTTCCATAACAATGTCCAGGTTTGTAATGGCCAGAATAAGTCAGAGAAGCAGAAAAGACTACAAAAAATACAAACTTGATATGACTATACAATGTTTTGTAAATCTCCCATATTTAGTTCAATTTTTATCAAATGTTAAGCTTCTAAGGCCTTAAATTTAATGTTTTCGTGTTTTCGATCACGTTCAATAGCTTTTTAATGATTTCAAGACTCTTGGGGTACTAATGCTTGACCCCCAGCTTCAGATCCAGCCTTACTTCACCTCTTCATTTTGTGATAAATATAGATTGAAGACATGGAGCAGTTTGAATCGTAAAATATACACACACTTAAGGTCCCACTTAAGTGCAGGGTAAAGAACATAATAGAATAGATTGAGATCGAGTGAGCCGTTATCACATAAGCATTGTTCCCAGAGCAGTCCCTGGACTCTTATGTACAAAACCTCTCCCTGTTTTCAATCTTCATAATTTACCTTGGAAATTGCCAGGACAAAAATGCATTGCTTATGTTTTGGCTGTATATACATAAAGATGTACATAGAGTTTTTAATCATACCTCTTTCATCAGCAGTGCATTCTCCAGCTTGTGCTCCTCGTCCTCCATTTCCATCGCCTCCGCCTCCTCCTGAGCCAAACGCATCGCTAGTTTTTCAGCCTCTTTTTCTGGGGGGAAAAGAAGCACCATTTTTAAATTGAAAAGAAAGTGTTGCTACTTACTTACTTCTATTGATTTAGAAATAAAAAGGGCGATAAAATACACCAGTCAAAACCATAAAATCGAACATACCTTTCTCTAGAACCGCATGAGGTTTCTCCCAGGTCGACTCCAGCGTCCTGTTGTTGTGGTAGTATGTTTTGCCGTCCGCAGTTTTGTATTCTGTCCATTCGGGGAGGTGGAGTGCCCCGGCGAGACCAGCAGGGCCAGCAGAGAGCGCAAGCTGAGGGTGCATCATGGACACCAGCGGAGGAGCCATCCCAGGGATCATGCCTGAGAAGCAAGAGAGACGGGAGGAAGTCAGAACTGAGGAGAGAAATAGAAACATAAATCATTGTTTACAATATTACACCCGTTCTGTTTGTGTGTTTTTTCATATATATATTGCCAATACAAGAACCCAGTTTATTTCAAATTTGCGAGGATGGGACTTCTGATAATTGATCTATCTTAGGTTCATGTAACACCTCAATTGTCCCGGAGTTCCCAGTGGCTGACAGGGTTTAAAAAATGCATTAAAAATATAGAAATAATTGGTCCCATGGCAAATAAACTGAATTTGATCTGAAACGGTTATGAATCTGTCAAGAAATGACCTGAAAAACATTGGCATTGGCATCAACATTTCTTTTTGAAAAGTCCTTGTTTATGCATTGGCACCTGTCCTCCAACCGAAATTGAATTCAAGAACATGAACACAACCTAATCCATACAGATACTGGACCATCCCTATTGAAAACCCTTTCTATCTCGGGCAGTTTAATGGGAACATTGAAAACCAGACACAGATGAAGCAATGACAAACATGCCAAAGCAACAACAATATAGACCATCTAAAAATAAATTTGACTTAATTTCCACCAAATGAGTAATCAGTGATTGAATGGATTTTGAAATGTTATCAGAGATGTCTCTCATTTGAACCCAGAAAGCAGATGTATTATGGTTAATAGTTTTAAACTTCACGTTGTATTTTACTGTTCCACTTATTTGTTTTGTGTTTCCTCTTTCTGCTTCGTCTTCCTGTATCTACTGTTAATTATTTTGACTTTGTATTATTATGACTGCGCAGTGCTTTGTAAACATTATTTTTGAAAAGCACTATACAAATAAAGATTTATTATTATTATCATTCAGTTTTGGAGTTAGTTATAAATAAATTTAACAAACATCTAATAGTCTACCTTTGCTTTCTTATTATGCTAAAGCTAGAGATTTTATACTTGCTGCTCCTCATTCCTTCTATTCTGTAGGTGGTGCAACACTGACATTTCCCCACTGTGGGACGAGTAAAGGATCTCTTCATCTTAACATCAAGTAAACTTAATAAACATGAGAATCGTTGATGGGCCGAACACTGATGATGTAAAGCATACACCACATGCCACGGCTCAAATACAGCCTCACTAACACCACGACACCATTCACTCCCATGCCATCTACAGCCGGAGGCGGGCGGGCGGCCGGTTTACCGTTGGCGCTGGGGCCGGCCTTAACACACGGAGTCCCTACTATCTGCATCATTGCTACACCTGCAAGAACAACGCACAGGCAGGCATCAAACACGTCTCACACACACAGAGACAGAGAGACAGACACCCAGCCGACAAACGAGAATCACGCTCATTCAAGAAGAGGCCTGATTGACTTTGTTCAAATGACAGTGTGTGCTCTGCTGTTTTGTTTGATTTATTTGTGTATTTTTAACCTTATTGTAAATCTGCACACTGAGGACTTTTGCAAATGTATTCCAATGTGGTTTTACTGCAAAGAGCAAAGAAATTAATCTGAATCTCTTGATATTTGTCTCACTGTTGTAGCCAGTATTTTCATGTAACCTGATCATTACTTAACCATTTCTGGGAGCTTTTTTCTGAAGTGTTATGTGAAACAGACGAAAGGTACAAGGGGGGGATCTATCTATCTGAAACGTCATTATAGATAGAGAACTACTTAAACCAATAACAAGGAAATAAAGGAAACGGATGTGATAAAAATGTAGGGAAAACTTTGGGATGGCAGAAGCCAGGTCGCTATAGTGTGTCCTAGATTCAGGAGCACAAACGGTTAGCAAAATGAAATTGTGAAAAATCCTCAAAAGGCGCCCGAAATCAGGTAACAAACTGAGCTTAATCCAGTAGAAATATACAAGGTAACTTGTCTTTCCATTATGACTGTAAACAAACAATTAAGCCAGCGATTTGCTGAGCTGTCATCAAAGCTCGGGTATGTAGATTTGTGTTTATAAATACATTTATAGATGGATTAGCTTTTGAATGTGTAGAAAAAGAGCCAATCGCTATTTCATGCTTCAGGCTGAAAACTGTAAAAACTGAGCTGAGGGATGATGGTCACGTCTGTCTGTATAAGCTGATCAACCCTTTTTTATATTATCAAAGTATTTGAATCCAGCACGAGCAATGTGGCCTCACTTGAAATCTTCTTGATTGTTAGATAACCCAGCTTTAATAGTTACAGCTATACTTTCTACAGCTTGATTTTTACAGACAAGTGTAACCAGTTTCCTCTTTCAGCCGTATCGCGTGGACATGGAGGTGGTGTGGTGGTTACCTGGCAGGGGGATGTGCATGCTGGGCAGGGGCACTCTGAACGGGGGCACCATGACCGGGGGGAAAGTGGGGATGGCAGCAGAGATGGTTGTCTGAGCCACAGTGTGCTGCAGCGGTGACGGCAGCAGCGGCATCGACTGCACGGCGGAGACAGGAGACGGCATCGTGGAGACTGTAACCACGGTGACCGGAGACAAGGCAACGGTGGAGGTGACTGGAGCAACAGGCGGCATGTCCGTGACAACGGGGGCTGCAAGACGACACAGGAGGAAAATTAAGAAAATAAAGTTAGTACCAACTAATGAACAGATCAGACTACAAGATTTACATATAAAAATAGTCATTTAATCTTTTGCATACGTAAAAAAAGAGGCCAATGAGTCCTTATTTGAAGCTTTGGGCTGAAAGAGGGTAGTGCTCTCTTTAACTTTTCTGTCTAATAAACTGTTCTAGGGATGTGATGAGGTCAAAAAAACTTGAAAGTAAAAATTGTAACGGAACCCAAACTGCGTTTAGAGCGAGGAACTGGGGTTTTCCTAGTTTAACCCATGACCAAACTGCCCTCGGGTCAAAATGACTCACCAAAATGATTTACAGTACAAGAAAAATACTCTAAATTAGGGTCTAAGGGTCAAAATGACCCAGCACTGGTCAAGTCATCAAAATTCAACTAAAAGAATTAGTGTATTTTTTATTCACTGTGGCGGGTCAATGACTCGAGGATAGCACAAGTAATTGAACTTACAATGTGAAACTATTGTATGATTTAGGCTCATTACGTGCAAAGTGACATGACAAGCCTTTGTTATAATTTTGATGATTATGGTTTACAGTCCAGTTTCAAAATATATTTTATTGGGGTTTTTACAAGCTGTGAGCAAATGATCAACATAACGAGAATCAAACCTGACGGTATTGATATTGTGATCTTTATAAGATCTATCCCATGTCCACAGCATAGGCAAGGCAAGGCAAGTTTATTTGTATAGCACAATTCATACACAAGGCAACTCAAAGTGCTGAACAAGATAGCATTAAAATCATAAATAATCACAGAACATTAAAAAGAAAGATAAAAATATAAAATCCCTCAGTTGTATGCACAGCTAAACAGCACAGTTTTTAACTTGGTTTTAAACATTGTCAGAGAGGAGGCCTGTCTCACATCCTCAGGAAGAATGTTCCAGATTTTAGCAGCATGAATCTGAAAAGCAGCCTCCCCATGTTTAGTTCTGACTCTGGGCACTAACAGGAGTCCAGTCCCTGTGGTCCTCAGAGTCCGGGCTGGTTCATATGGGACTAACATGTCACTAATATATTTTGGTGCGAGGCCATGGAGAGACTTGTACACAAGCAAAGCTGTTTTAAAGTCTATTCTCTGAGCCACAGGAAGCCAGTGCAGAGACCTGAGAACTGGACTAATGTGGTCGTACTTCCTGGTTCTAGTCAGGACTCGAGCTGCTGCATTTTGAATGTACTGCAGCTGTTTTACAGCCTGTTTGGACAGACCTGTGAGCAGGCCATTGCAGTAGTCTAACCTACTGGAGACAAATGCATGGATAAGAATCTCCAAGTCTGCTTTAGACACTATGTTTTTGATCCTGGAAATGTTTTTTAGATGGTAAAAAGCTGCTGATGTTACTGATTTGATGTGGCTATTAAAATTTAAGTCTGAGTCCAGTATTACCCCTAGATTTCTGACCTTGTTTGAAGGTTTTAGGGAGAGAGACTGTAGGTGACAGATGACGCTCTCTCTTTGTTTCTGGGGACCAAAGACAATCATTTCAGTTTTGTCTGCGTTTAGCTGAAGGAAGTTGTTTTGCATCCACTCACTGATCTGTTGGATACAGTGAAGGAGTGAGTCCACTGGTCCATGTTCTCCTGCAGTCAGTGAGACATAGATCTGAGTGTCGTCTGCATAGTTATGATAGGACACTTTGTTTCTGCGTATTAACTGACCTAACGGCAGCATGTAGAGATTGAAAAGAAGAGGTCCCAGGATCGACCCCTGTGGTACTCCACAGGTCAGGGCCATATGATCTGAGACACAGTTTCCAATCTCCACAAAGTACTTCCTGTCTTCAAGGTAAGACCTAAACCAACTTAGGGCGGTGCCAGCGACGCCAACCCAGTCCTCTAGTCTCTGTAAGAGGATCTCATGGTCGACAGTGTCAAAGGCAGCATACAGCAGCACAACATTGGGTGTGTATAAATAAGTCATATGAGAGGACAGACCTGCGATGGCCGCTGATGGCGAGGAGGTGGTGGTAGTGTCGCTGCTGGAGCTCATTGTGGTGGAGGAGAGCGAGGTCTGTGTGGAGGTGGGGCTTGGAGAGCTCGCCGAGGATCCGTTTGGCCCATTTGGACTCGCATTGGTCCCTGGGGTCCCACCCGCGCCTCCCCCTCCTCCAGCCAGGAGCGGGTTCAGTTCAGACTGTTGAATGATCTTCACGCCATCTGGTTTGGTCCAAGACGACTCTCTGGTCCTGGCGTTATAGAAGTAAGCCTTGGGAAGAAGCAGACATTGTGAAGAAATTGCCCGAACAACTTTATTTAGCTATTCCAATGGTCTTGTAAATACTCTTTCAAATGATTAGCTTAGATTGCTGAACACACTTTAATAGACAGTTACTAATGAATGTTATAGATAATGCCAAAGTAACAACACTTAATTATATATCATGCATTATTTTGTCTCCTAAAATGATACTTTACTTACATTTCATGTTTTAGAATAGGATTTAGTAGAAAATCTATAGATAAACATGTATAAAGGGAAATAAATTATCTAAGCATGCAGCTCCCCACTTCTATCATCAGAGGGGGACCTTTTACCCCCTCCCAACATCACACGTCGCAAAAAGTAAAGGGGTTGAAACAAAACTAAAACACCTAAATTGCAAGAAAACAAGAAATTGCAGAAACTAAAATTTAACAGGCAGTAATAGTGTAAGAAAGTATAATTCCATGTCAGGATTGGGTGAGGAGGGATAGGTTTGTACCACAAATTCTTGATTTGTTTTGATAGAGCTAAAAACAATGTCAGATATGTTATTGATGAGTGCAGAATGTTGTAAAAGCTCAAAGGAAATGATTTTGCTTAATAATAAGTACATTGCCAAAATAAACACTGCCCTTTAAACCAAAATATATCAATACGCAACACTCATTGTTATGCAAGAAACCAAACCTGCTGACGATATCCTTCAACTCAAAGCGCAGAACCTGCAGCATTTTGCAGTCAGTGCATTATGATGATTATGGACACAGGTTAAGTTCTTGTTTTCTAAACGTGTCTATGGTGGCAGAGGGAGTTTACATGATCTATTGTTGCAGCCCAATTCAGCAGTATTGTTTATAAGAACGAAACTGCTATAGTAATTTATTCTCTTCTTTTAATCAATGGTTGGTTCTAGCGTCTGGACTCAGCACGTCTCTTACCTTTCCCTCTGGTGTTTTGTTTTCAACCCAAATCTCCTCATTTGGGTTGAGTGCAGGGGTCCCAGTGGAAGGCCCGGGTGGCATCCCAGGAGGAAAAACCATTCCAGGCGGAGGGGGCATATTCCCCATTGGAGGAAGAAAGGGCGGCCTCTGCTGCTGTAGGGAACAAGAGACTGATTTTAGAAAAATAACAAGAGAAGACCATTCCCTCCATTACAACAACACATGTGTCTGTTGATTAAAGACCAGTATGTACCTGTATGTGTTGAGGGTTAATAGGAGGTGGCATGCCCCCTGGTGGAGGTAGGGCCATGTTTGGCTCAAAGGGAGGTCTGGAAAAAGGGGTACGTGGTGGAGGGCCTCTCATCAATGCAAAAGGAGGCGGAGGTCTCAGCAGAGGAGGCGGACCACGTAACACAGGGGTTGGAGCAGGGGCAGCAGCAGCAGGAGGAGTGGGGGTGCGGAACCGGGCCGCCTGCTGCGCCATTCTGGTACCGTTTGGGAAAGAAAAACAATTGTCAGCAATGAATTACCAGAACGAATGGGGACTGATATATAAATAAACAATAAGTACAAAGACAATAGACAGCTCAGCAGGTGGAGCATTATCCCTCTTAAGTCTATGAAAGTCTCCAGTTTGACTCCTTATGACAAACATACTTCATAACATTGAGCCTGATTGCTCAAGGTGCTAGCTGCGAGGTTGGCAGGTGTGAAAACCAGCCCCACACAAACGTGGCAAGACACCCATCAATGTACAAATGTGACGAGAGTGGATCTAATGTGGAACCGTTCACCCATTTTATTTTTTATTTGTAGAAAAAAGCTATTATAAAAGAAATACTAAAGTCACAGAGGATAGAGGACAAACACACAGTGTGTTCTCCGAGCGGGAATAAAACAAGTTTTTTTGAACAAATTTTTATTTTTTTTTACAGTTGATTGATTTGAAGCATTTACTATTAGACCAATATATTCTGATTCGCAAACACATTTATTAAGAGTCAACTTAATACAAAGGGATTTTAGGTGAGAAAAATGATTTCAATTACTGCCTTACATTCGTGGCGTGTCCCATTCTGAATTGGATTATGACTTGCCTTGGAATTACCCAAATATTGTATGATTATACACAACATCTAACAGAATATTTTGAGGATATGAACAGAGTAAGTGTACAAAAAGAAGCCCTTTATTATCGATAATGTAAACACAACGAAACTGCTTGGAATACTTCCAAGTCACGTCGCTGCGTTGGGGTGTAGTCTGTCTACCACTGTCTGTACTGATATGATACCCCTGCACGTAAATCGTCTCGTAATGTGTGATTTGTGGGGCTACATGAACAAAACATGTCGCCACAAGATCAGTGAAAATGTAAATACAAGTAGACAGAAAAGCAAGCCGATGACAAACAGCACTATTGCCACGTTATGACTACAAATGAACTTAACGCTAGCTCCGCACTGCTACTGGAGATTTGCAACAGTGCGTGTCATTTACCACTATTGGCTCCAATATGCAAATAAACACAACTTTTTAGGATAAATTGGTTGCAATATAAACACGCAAAAACATCTGGTCAGCGTGAGGCTCGTGTTTACAAAGTGCCACGAGTAAAACACTTGAGGAGCTACGGTGCTAACTAGCTAGCATGGCTACGTCTAAAAGTTACAGCGTTCTTTATCTTCCAAAATGCTTCTCGTTCAGATTCTATAAGGGCTGTGCTTTTCTGTCAAATCTTGTACACTTTTCTGGATAAAATTGAGCGCCTAAAACTCTATTCTGACCTGTTGTCGTTGAAGCCAATGGTTTCGCTATCTGCCTGGTCCGCCATTACAGGAACATGTAACAAATCGCTTCCTGGAAACGCCTTCCAAACTGTTTTGAGCGTGTCCATTGGCTGAGCATTCGCGTCAATCACACTGTCATCTTTTGTGATTGGTTGATATTTTACAGTGCTGTGCGTTCTTCCGTCCACTCACCACGATGCCTTTGTTCGACACGGACCGTCATTCATGTATTTTATCTATAAACTGTAAATTAAATCATTTCATTTCACTACAAAAATCATTTTTTAGTGATACCGCTATGTTGTTTTATGTATTCATGTATTATTTACCGGTCTTTCTTTTTAACAATCTAGAAATTATGTTGCTCAAAGTTGTATTTCAATTCTTCAAGGATCGAATGTTTTTTTTGTCAGCCAATTGATAAAATATATCAAACCTTTGGAAATGTGAATGGTCAAAATAAAGATGTTCCGCTCTTATTCTCAGTAAAATGAAACAGTCTGGGATCTGAACTCCAAACTCACACGTGAAATAAATGCCATTTCAATAAATAGTGCCAGATCTATTGTACATGTTTTTAGTGGTAGGGCAAACCGAAGCAAACAGTGAGAACATACAAACTCCACACAGAAGGGCCCGGTCTGTGGATGGAATCGAACATGGGACCTTCTTGCTGTGAAGTAGAAGTGCTAACCACTGCGCTACCCCCATGTGTACACCAGGTTTTTATGAAGCTTGGAAGTATGATTCTCAAGCAGATATTTACCCATTTCCTTCCCTGCAAAAAGTGCAGACTGCAAACTCAGGTAAAGTTATACTTTAATTCAATGTAGACTGAATTACAGAAACAAAATGTTATGAACATAATACAAGTAAAGTATTTAACTAAGAGCTATGAATCATCCTTCTGAGAGTAACAAAATAAAGATTTGGTCTTTTGGAACACAGAGATAAGAAAAAGACACAGTTCTGCTTCACCAGTTTCCACGTCAAACGAAAAAAAAAAGACATAGGTTTTCACACACTCAGCACACACAGCCTTTCTATCTCTGTCCTTCTCCACACGTCTATATGAACATATGAGGAAAACAGAAACCTTTTATTCAGTCTGCGATGTCAATGCTTGAACTACAAATGAAAGGTGGGGGACTTTGCAGCTCAACCTCTCAAAAATATTGAAATTTTTACCACACCCTCTGCTGGAGAACAGGCGTATGGTTACTCGCTGTTTAGAACAGGGGTGACAAACTGGTTCAAGAAGGGGTTAAAACTGGAGTCTGGTGTGCTCCTACTCAAGTTGGAACTAAAACCTGCAGCCACACTGGCCTTTTGAGGACCAGTTTTGCACCCCTGGTTTAGAACACACTGTATATTAAGGTATTGGCTTATTTAAGAACAAAGAATAATAGAAAATGTGTTTTATATTACAGTGTCAAAGGCAGTGAAGCCATTTTGAGCCTGCCTCCTCGTGTAGCCCTGGTTTTAACACTGGTGATGTATAGATTGTGTATACTGTAGATTAGAACATGGTCAAATAAAGTGGTCAAATGCTTCCATGATCTCAAATTTCATGCCAGCAGCAGATCATGGATGAAAACAACTTGTTCAGCTGACGATGGAGCAGGAGTAACGAGACATGCAAGGGTCTGTCCCATCATCTTTCCATGGTCCACTTTCAACAACAAAACATCCAGTCACTCGTCCACTCACTCAGCAAAACCAATTCATTTATTTTCCAAAGTTGCCAAAGTTAGCAAAGGCATCTTGTTTGGGTGAGACCATGGCTGGAGTCATGGAGTGTGATAGGCCCATTGGGGGAACGCCCATCATCACCGGGGCGCCCACTCCCAGATTCATGTTCATGTTCATTCCCATCATGCCCTGGTTCACGGAGATCCCAGGCATCGCCGCGGAGCCCGAGGTCATGGTTCCAGGCATCCCGGTCGGCATAGGAGCAGAGGCGGGCATTCCGAAGCCCAGAGAGTTGCCGGACAGCATGGCGTTGGCCGCTGGTCGGATGGGCGTCGTGTGAGGAGGAGAGCTGAGGTTCAGTCCTCCAAAGTTCTGGGCCAAAAGGTTCACATGAGGTACGCCTGGACACGACAAGAGGACAGGATTCTTTGTCAACAATAAGCTTCATAAAATGGACTAACACAAACATAACATGGAAGTGATCAGGTCATGGCGGCTCCAGTTTTGTCTCTTTTGTTGTGACTATTCTAACACCTGGGTTGGCTGTTTTTATGTGACGTATAAATTCCATGCCCAGTTTTCATTCTGCCAGGAAAAAGCTCTGCAATAAACTCTGTAAGAACTCTAAAACTGGAATAAAGGGCAGCATGTGTGCTTCTGAACTTGCCCCAAGTCTTTCAGTCTTTTTGTTTGTTTTACTATGTCACTTCCTGGTTAGACATAAGTAAGCAAGGGGCAAAGCGTAATAATTATAGACATCTATAGTTAGTACATTTGAAATCTCAATAAGAAACTTTCTGTGTGGAGTTTGCAAGGGATCATCATGTGCCGTTTTTAAATTGCACTTGCTGTGTACCTTAAAATATTTCCTTCAGTAGTTTTATCCCAAACTGACAAATAACTTTTATGAATTAAAGTAATAGAATGAAATTGCATCTCACAGCGACTAATGTTGTGTTGGCGCTTTTAAACTGAAAGTCAATAAGTTACATTTAGTTTTTATCGAATTTCTTAACCTATATACATTCAGATCAACTTCAAATCAATGCAGAAACTGAGGAGTAACAATCTGGTGGAATCAAACATTTGGTATTATATATAAAACTAGAGATGTAGTGTGTAGTGTACCTTGCATGATGTTGTTGAGAGTGGGCGGAGTCTTGTTGGGGTTGAGACCAGCTGATAAAAAGTCCAGGCTGATGTTGACTGAGGGATCGGACCAGGTTGAACCCAAAGCTCCTGGACCACAGACTGTCTGCTGCTGTCCCATTGTCTGCTGCGGCATCATGCTCCCTAAACTCTGTGGAAACAAAACATATTAATTTGGAGAATACAGCAGCATCGCACATGTGTCACTGTTACAATACATTACAATAATAAAGTATATACTGCAAGTAGCAAAAACATCACAATAATCTGACTGAATTGTACAAACATTAAAAGGTTTTATGAGTATGCTTCAGGCTATTCAGGGAGCAATTCTCCACATGGAGGTAAAAAAATGCTGTTTCTTTCTGTAACGTAAGCATCATCACATAAAGCGCTTACACAAGAAGACCACACTGAGCTGCAATTTCTTCCAAACATGAATCTAATGCAGGTGTACGATGTTGCATTCTCGAACAAGATTTGCGACTTTTATTAGAATCCACGGTTTAGACACAAACGTTGGAGTCTCACCTGGCTGCAGTCACTACTCGGACTGTTGCACCATTCATAACTTGTGCTCTCACTTTAAATCTAAATATTTACAAGAAATAAATGATTAAACAGTAATATTTTATCCTAATCAGAAAAAAATAAAAATAAAATAGTATCTTATTAAATATGAACAAATTTACATCAGATTAGATCAGCTAAAATAAGGGAATAAGCAAACTACAGTCGGTTGTGGTCAGGCGGCAGTGAAATAGGGATTCTCAGAGAAATAGAGTTTTAAATGGAATATTGTAAACTTGGGGTAAATGAGAAGAGGACAGATTTTAAGATTTTGATAACATGTCAGTGGTGTTGTGTGCTCACGTGATTCCCATAGAATAATTTTACTAAAAAAATATAAGAATGACACAGTTTCAGAGCCCCTGGTATTCTTACAGTTTTAGAGGTAGACCAATGTGCCTAATACACAGTTCTTTGTCAGAGTGGGTTGGGTGTTGGGCAGTAACCATTACCTGCTGGGAGCGGGACAGGTGCATGTTGGGCAAGGCTCCGGCTGCTGCTCCCCCCAGAGAGAAGGTGAGGCTCTGGGACGCGCTCAGGGTGGCGTGAGGCGTCTGCACTGCGTTGCTGAGTCCACTCATCAGGTCAAAGAGCTCAGCAGACGGGGGGACGGAGCTGGCGGACTGGGCTGGAGTGGACGTAGCAGAGCCAAACAGGTCTGAGCCGGTTTGCACGGGTCCGCAACTTGACGTGGGGGGATTAGAGAAGGCACTCCACTCTCCAAAATCTGCAGTTCCAGTGGAGGCAGAAGCAGCTAAGAAGAACAGAACAGATTACTAGTCATGGGTTCAAGATTATTACCACTTTTTCAGATTATTTCCTCATTTAAAAACAATAAACTGTACACACACTTTGTTTTCGACTCTCGACCAAATCTTAAGCTCTGATTGGTTCAAATAAAACACAAATCAACAAATAAAAGATTGATGAGAATAAAGGAAAGAAAGTAAGCTATGGCTACGCTAATGTTATGCTAATGTTAGTCTGCATGGCCAGATTCATAATTTGGATGAAATCTTGTACCTGTGGAGGTTGGAAGGCTGGCGGAGGCTGCAGGAGAGGAGAAATCTGCAAAGCCACCGATGAGGTCTTGACCTGTAACTTTGGGAACAACAAAAACAACTTAAACACATGTTCTGTGCTTTCTGAATCAGATCTCAAGTTTTCATTGCTGCAGTTACCTGTGCTGCTCCTGGAGGAAGGGTCGATCTCCAACAAGTCGGCGAGACAACTACTGGACAACGGTTTTCCTGAAGACTTGACAGAGAGGGAGCACATTCATTAAACCAGTACAATATCTTCATGTAAAAAGTATAATATATATATTTTATATTAAATTGTCAATCATAATGTAAATCTTCTGAAATCACCATCTATTGGAGGGGTGGGATCAAGTCCATTCAAATATTGAATCTACAGCCTCAGCACTGGATCTGCAGCCTCAGTCCTGGATCTACAGCCTCAGTCCTGGATCTACAGCCTCAGTCCTGGATCTACAGCCTCAGTCCTGGATCTACAGCCTCAGTCCTGGATCTACAGCCTCAGTCCTGGATCTACAGCCTCAGTCCTGGATCTACAGCCTCAGTCCTGGATCTACAGCCTCAGTCCTGGATCTACAGCCTCAGTCCTGGATCTACAGCCTCAGTCCTGGATCTACAGCCTCAGTCCTGGATCTACAGCCTCAGTCCTGGATCTACAGCCTCAGTCCTGGATCTAGAGCCTCAGTCCTGGATCTGCAGCCTCAGTCCTGGATCTACAGCCTCAGTCCTGGATCTACAGCCTCAGTCCTGGATCTACAGCCTCAGTCCTGGATCTACAGCCTCAGTCCTGGATCTACTGCCTCAGTCCTGGATCTACAGCCTCAGTCCTGGATCTACAGCCTCAGTCCTGGTACCTTCTCCTCAGGGCTCCTCTCCCCGGTGTAGGTCGCAGCTGCCCCCAGGTCCAGGCTCTTGTTGCTAGACCCCCCGCTGCGTTTCCGTGTGGTGGTGGTGGTGGTCTCTGTGGCTTGTGTGATCTGGATGCTTTTTGTAGTCACGGTTTCTTCTTCGTCTTTAAACTCCAGAGTGTCTTGTCGCCCGTTTCTTGAAGCTCTGTCCTCCTCGTTGTCACTATAGCAACAGGAAGATTATGCAGAGGCAGCGATGCATAGGTTTTATTATTATGATTGGACTTTTTGTACAATAAGTTTAAGACTCATTGCAATCCAATCGAAATGTTCGTGGCCAAAGTTAGCAAATCGCAAAGACTGCATTTATGTGAGGATTTGGAAACTTTTTTGTCTAAAGTATATTTAGCCTTACTATGTGCAGTGGTATTATTTCCATATATCAAGTAAAAACGACATTTCATGTAATTTGTTCCATCGGCAAAGCTGTTTTAAGATCGAAAAGGTTCTCAAATAAAAGATTAAAAATCAAGTCAATCAACAATTAACTAATTCCACAACTGTGTAATACATTAAACTTTTTTCCTGTTTTCCCGATTGTATTTTTTTGCTTTACCTAATTCTGTCTGGAGAGTCGTCTCGTTCCTTCTTTCTGAACTTGTTGATTGTGTCGTCGATGGTGCTGCCAATCTTGTCACTGATCTCGCCGAGCTTCTCGCTGAAGGGAAACCCGCCTTTGCCTTTGTCCCAGTCCTCGTCCCACTTTGTGCGGTCCAGCTCCGTGGCTAAGGAGAAGCAAACACTGCATGAGCCAACCTATCGGAGGAGAGGCTTTAACCTATGTGCCACCGTTTTGCCCAAAAGTATTGATTTATGTTTACTATGAGTATAACAATAACAAAATACATTATTTTATTTTTCCAATGTTTGTGTAATAAACACATCACTGTAGGGTCCTCTGTCTCACAGCCTGTCTGGGATTGCCACCGGCTCCTTCCACATTAAGGCTAACACTACGGGTGACGCTCTCGGTCAGTCCACTCCTATACTGTAGTTTTGAGCTGAGTCAGTTTGGTTTGCACGATAGCAGGGCCAGTATTGTTTACCGTAGTAACACACATAGCAACACATAGCAGTTGGCATTCATTAGCTTCTCAACTACCTGCGTCATTTCAAATGTTCAATTACTTTTTTGTGCTTGAACTCAAAATATGAATGTAAAAATGTAAAGCGCTCACAGTTCTTGAAGCTGTTGCCTCCGCCGCCCATACTGTCCGAGGAGACGCCGATGTACTTGTCTTTATTCTTCTTGGCTTTCTTCCGCTCTTCTCGAAGCCGGTCGTCATCCTGAATGAACTCCACCATCTCCTTCACCTTCTGCCGCACGTTAATACCCTGGTCCTTTCCGCTCTCGTCTACACACATACACACACACACACATCATTATATCTACGCTTCTACGCTAACAGCCAGAGAAATCTCACGTTGGTTTGCTCAGTTTTACCAAAAAAGTTGTAGTTTTCTAGAGAGCGCAGGTCATAGATGTGTTCTCTGGAACTGGTCACGACTCTCTCTGAGCCATTCCGGATTAAATAGGCTAACAGCAGCAAAGCCTGGAGATTGTAGATCATTCAGGTACATAATGCAGAGAAATAAAATAATACATGTTAATATAACACATATTTTCTCAACAACATGGGCAGAAAAACAGATTTCAGACCATTACCCCAATATGCTACAAATGATGCTCTTATGTCAATACGGATTTTTTGGCAAGTAATTATTGAGCGTTTTATAATAACATGAAATATACAGCAGATCAGATTTTGTTGCTATGGAAGTTTTGAGACTTGTTTCATTGAGGTGATTTGGTGTTGCCTGTGTGTGTGTGTGTGTGTGTGTGTGTGTGTGTGTGTGTGTGTGTGTGTGTGTGTGTGTGTGTGTGTGTGTGTGTGTGTGTGTGTGTGTGTGTGTGTGTGTGTGTGTGTGTGTGTGTGTGTGTGTGTGTGTGTGTGTGTGTGTGTGTGTGTGTGTGTGTGTGTGTGTGTGTGTGTGTGTGTCAATACAGTAGTATGCAATATCCTATGGTATTGTAAATTATATATGGTAGTAAGAATTACAGGCTGACCATGTTTACTGTACATGACAAACTAAACAGTCTGTTTTAAGGGCCTTAATCATTTCTTATTTCCCATTAGAACAACATGCTGCCGCACTGCTGACCTTGTAAACTCGTCTCCAGTTCTTCTTATTGTCCTTGAGCATTCGGGACCAGAGCATGTTCATGACTTCAGGAAACTGTTCGTACATAAAGGTAGATCTGCAAAGACATGAGCTGCATCAGGACAAAGGCCACTGCTGCTTCTATTGTTTAGTTTCACTTTTACAAACCACATACTTTGCTATTTCTCCCATCAGCTGCCCAGAGGGTCCCCAGGGGTCATCGTTGGTCGCCTCCCGTACTTTTGACTCGATTTCAGAATAGTTCATCACCACATTGGTGCTGTGGGCAGAATTAGAAAATGCATCTGAAGTCACAGGATGAAAGTTATAATGTTACAGCAGACTGGTGAAGTTGATAATTATATAATTCTAAACTAAACTGATCATTTCTATTATGATCTACAACAGTCATTGTCTGCACAAGCTGCAGGTCCTCTATAATGACGCTTTTCGAGTGTTTATGAGAAAGCCACAATGGACCAGTGCGTCTGAGCTGTTTGTCACCTCACGAGTGAACACTTTACAGGATGTGCTGAGAAAGAACCCTAATGTACAATTTCATCCGTCAACTAATCAAGTCAGAAAATGAAATAAAATTATCACTTACAAACAAGTTCAGTGCCACTCGATTTCAATCCAAGATGTGGAGACACTGGTATGGCTGTCTTTTAAAGTCATAACTGTTTGTTATATGCTTTCTTGTGACTCTTGTCTATCAGTATGTTTTAAAATGGACCTAGAGTCTGTAATAAAGTTGGACTCAATTCAATTGAAATTGAAGATTTTATATTCAGTATTGATGCCTCACAGGTATTTTGCAAGATAGCCAACCCCTAACCCTTTCCCCAGAACTAACCTTGACCAAATCCACCGTTCCTCCCCTTAACAGAATCTTAAAGGCAAATTCAAAGAAATAGCAACAACATTTAAATATTTATCTCAACCTGGGACAAGATACCAACATTGTTGCATATCACGTTGGCAGCAAACCCTAACCCAGAAAATATAACATGGATAGATGCTTTATAATCATATGTGTTTTATAGGGAGATCTTTGAAGAAGAGATGGACTGGGAAATTAGCTCTGTATGTAAATAATTTGTAAAAAGTTACCCATCTTAATATGTAAACGAGTGTCACATGTTGTGGTGGGTCAACTGAAAAGACATGGCTGCCTTATGTAACAGTAGACCTCATGTATGATCACGAGCAGTGTGCTGAATAATGAATGGAAACTTCCAGAGGGCGACATGGCCTTCAGACACATAAGAAACGGCAACATTGTGGCTGTAATATAATCTTTACTTTCAATTCTGTATGCATCTTGTTGAACCACTTTCTTTCTGATTTGGAAACAGACAGACAGGTGTAGGGCAGTAAGCCTTTGGTCAAAGGCATCTTAGAACATACACATTCTATATTGGTTAACCCCCCCTCCCCTGGACTTGTTTGTGAGGCCCTGGTGCACACTGTGCATCTTCTTCTACTACGTAAATGTCTGTTGCTCGCCATTGAGGTCTGCAACAATGACTATGAGCTTTGCTAAACTAAAAATAACAATCTGCTTGTGTGGTATTAAATTATACTAAGTTAAAATGACAGCGTGAGACAGGCCTCTTCTCTGACAATGTTCAAATTCCTGGTTAAAAACTGTTCTGTTTAGCTGTGCAGACAACTGAAGGATTGTACCATACTACCTTCACTCTTTTTTATGTAGTTATGATTTTCTATTCATGATTGCTTTGCCCTTGTTTCGTTAAGCACTTTGAGTTGCCTTAATAAACTTGCCTCACTTAAATCTTCTATGACAGCCTAAGTCACTCCCCCATCATCTGCTGCAGCTTCAAACGTCTTAGTAACCACAGTATTTTCATGCAGCCGCTCTTCCCCTGTCTCAGTATGCATTACAAACTCTTTCTAATGTGTTTGGGCAGCTACAGAAGACATCACATTATCTGTCGTGGAACAAAATCAATGTCCACTGTACAGAGCCTCAGCGCTCAAAATCAATACATGTCTCTCTACTGATACAAAATAAGAACGTATTAAAATCATCAATCCATGTTAAATCAGTTTCCCCCATGCTTCCAGCTATTCAGTCCATTGTGATTATTACACCCTTTTTCAAAATAGCAAAACTTATTTTAAAGATTTAATTGAGATTTGATTTATTTGGGAAAGGTTCCAAAGAAGGTAAAACAGACATAACACATACAATACACACAGATTACATTTACAACACATACAAGACAGACACATTTGCTCCATCAGACTCCACTCTACACCCCTACAATAATACTACATTCAGAAAACATGACTTATAATAATTATAAAAGGTATTAACTTAAATGTTTGGTTAGTAGTGGCCTAGACGTACTTTTGACGTATGTTGGTCTGATCAGTCAGTTTAAATGTTCCTTATGTGTCTAATGTCAGGTCCATTTGGTTGTGTCATTGAGTTTTGTTAACATTTAGCCTCATGTGTTACTTTGGGCAATTATTTTGGCTAATTAAAAACCCTAAAACTTGAAATGCTCTTGTGCGTTTCCTGCCTCATCATCTGTCTCCCTTACAACTTTTAAATATAATTGAACCAAAGCAGCATCACCTTTCACTTCAATATCCAGACAGTATAATGTGACGCATTAGATTTGTGTTGAGAAATGAAGTTAAGCACGTTGTACTGTGCTGCATTAGATTGGCTTATAGCCGTGTAATTAGGCCACAGTTATGCGTGTACTACTGCTGCTGCTGCTGCTGCTGCTGCTGCTGCTGATGACCCAGTGTGGGCCTCACTGAGGCTGTGGGCAGTGTGCAGGACGGTGGTCATGGGTGTGAGCTAGAAATCAACTCAAATACTATTTTGTAAATGTTCATCCACAACTGGGCCAGTGACAGACACGCCCAGAGGACTCATAACGGAGTTTGTAGTATCCTCTTGTGGAGCATCTTTGCAGTGGGACCGGGGCGTGGACATAGATGGTCCTGATCCAGACCATAGATAGACCCAGACGTGTGTTAGCCATGCTAACGAGACAACGAGGCTAACTATTGTATTGTAATTGTATTATTGTAGCCATTTTGTTTGTTCACACACACCCTACTACAGCTAACAATGACACAATCCATGTCTTCATCTCGGTTAAAGAAAGAGGAAGTGTCAGGATCCAGGATCCAGCTAAACCTTGTGAAGCTAACAGCTGAGGGCAATGCTCGTGACGTCAGGACGTGTGCTGATGCTGCGGCTAAAGCTAAAGCCCCATAAGCCTCAGACCCTGAATATTAGCCGTGTGAGCCTCAGGTTTATGAGCCCTGTTAGCTTCACCTGTGCTACAGCCACAGCGTGGCCCTACAGTGTGGCCGGCCCCTACAGCATGGGGACACAGCAGCAGCAGCAGCAGCAGCAGCAGCAGTAGCAGTAGCAGCAGCAGCAGCAGTAGCAGCAGTACTACACCTGCTCCCCGCGGTACTCACGCTTTATCCACCAGCTCCCGGACTTTCCACATATTGAGCATCACCCGAAGCCTCTGCTCTGATGTAGCCCGCGCCTCTGGCTCCCGGCGCAGACACAGTTTAGACCAATCCAACAGTCTTCCCAGTCTTTATTGTGATTATAGTGGTTTCAGTGAAGGAGGCTTCCGTGAGCGCGCAGAGCTCAGACCCCAGAGCAGAGACCTGCCCCCGTTGCCACGGAAACGCCGTCCTCTCACGTCACACGCACCGTGCGCCTGTTTACTGCAAACAAGAAAAGTCTGTAAAACTAGAAACTATCAAACAGAAAGATAAAGACGCCTCACTGCGCGGTCTGCAAACTGCAAAAGACAAAGAACACGATCACCTCCGCAGACAAACAGCCTCAAGGGAAATAGGCCCGTTACCAACGCAAATAGAAAGAGTTAAACAGGTTCTGTAAGTCTTTGCATTGACTCTTATTTATATATCCCAATTTAAATATTAAAAGGGTAACTATATATGTTTGTCTATTTTAGAGTAAAGAGAATAATTAATTCATAATTTATTCCTATTTACATGTAATCCTTAATCTCTCCACTAGATGGCCCTCCAAGCACATGTTTCTGTTCATTTGCACAGGACATCGTGGACATGGATCTACTGATTGTAGACAAAACTGGCACCTTAAAAATTGTTCTCAGAAGCGTAATTATTAAGCCACATTACATTACATATCAATGTGACATCAGGGCAGTCCACAAAGGGCAATCAAAAACAGAAGCTTAGTCTTCTTGGCCAGGTCTCTGTTTTAAATGACATCTTTGATGCCCTGGGGGAAAAAATGGATTAATGGTACAGAGAGCTGCATTGTTTCTGGAGCTTATAGTTAATTGCACAGAGAAATGTTGGTTGAGAAAGACAACTAAATCATGTAAAGATAGATAATTATGTGTTCAAGTTAAGAGTTTGGAAAGTATTTTCACAATGAAAGGAATTTCATCTTGATGTGTTTATGTACAAACAAAACAAAATCTCTGATTTTCCTTATGATTGATACTGTTCTACCTCAAAACTTGTTTTAAGTTCCTGAATGATAACTGTGTTTCTTTCACCATTTGAGACCAATGTCTTAAGAAAATATACCGCTCTAGAATACCACCAGAAATAGAAGTCAATGATAGTAATGCAAACAAAACAACAAAAACTATATATATATATATAATATATAAACAATGTAAATTTATGCTTACATATATTATTGGTACAAAATCCTTAGTATACTGTGTTTATTCTTCCAGTAATTACATGCTTCATATACTTAGGCAAAGCAAAGTGTAACTTTTGCCTACACTATTTGGTCTGTAAAATGGTCAAACTTGTTAAATTTATTTTGTTGACCACAAACTGAAAAAATAAATGAGAAGATCACAAGCTTTACTATTCAGTCATTTTCTATTTCAAGCTGAAGTGAAAGACTTTTTAGCCTAACCCATATTAACAAAATCAGTCACACAAGATGTAGCAAATCAAAGCATCACAACTCAGATCAGTTTTACAGATAAGTGAAAACATAATAAACTTGACGAGGAAAGACACGCATATGGAACATTTTTATACCCTGGCTTTATAAAGACTTAAGGGCCTTGGGCTTTTTAACCCTTTGATGGTTTCCTCAACCATTTGGTGGATCACTTTTTGAGTCACTATATCCACTTGAAGCAGCTTGGATGTTTTTGGATCGCTTTCTTCAGGAGTGAAAATCAAGATTCCACCTCTACTTTGTAACCTTTGCTTTGTTGTTGAGTTTCATGCATCTTATTGCACTTTTGGGACTGACTCTCTCCCCTGCATACCATTGGCTGCTGTTTGCTTTGCTTGTATTTCACCACTTACAAGATGCAACTTTGAATCATGAAGTATAATGCTGTCTTATTTCCACTAGCTTACCTTTTACAGTGAACAATATTCAATCATATCCTGAACTTTCAGAGACATTAAAAGGACAATTCCTGTTCCAGAGTCAACAGTGAGGTGCAGATAGAGGGGATTATCCAGCTGAACGGAGGAGGAAGTGGCCAGAGCATGTGAAGTGTGTTTTTCAGTCACTCCCTGGAGTCCAACTACAGATCGCTTGGGAAAAAGACCCCGGAGTCCACCCCAGGTCTGAGCCGACGCCAAGAAAAGCAAAACCCAAAATAGAGCAGAGAAACAGAGGGATTTTAAACCTACGATTCAAAGGCCCAGGCACGAGGACAGAACTGTAGAGGGCGTGAGAGGGTTTAAGGCAACTCTGAAAAACCAATGGGCCAAACATAGGCTTTTGGAGAAAGTGGGGGCCATCATGCTGTACTGGTTTGGACTGGTTTGGTGCAGATTTAGGTTTTGAGTTCTTTATTTTAGGCCAGTGGTTCCCAACCTTTCTTGGTCTGTGTACCCCCTGGGCTTGTGAGTGAAGTCATGAGTACCCCCATATGCATTTTTTTTTTCTACAACAATTCGTTTATTTCGTTTAATGTAACATTTTATGCAACTGTTTGTATACAAATTTGCATATAAATCAAACACCTTCACATTCATTTGCTATATTCAATATATTTTCTTTTCAGAATCCAAATGAAATGCTTATTGAAAAATATTTTAACATGACGGCTTACACAGAACACGATAGGCCTTTTAAAATAATTAGTCTTAATTTTCTTAGAAGTCAATGAGATGCTTGAGCTTGCTTTTCTCCCATCAGTTTACTTATATCAGGGGACAATGAGGCAACAGCTGTAATCAGGCTGCTCTCCACAGCCAGCCTGTTTCTGTGTTTAGTTTTAATGTGTGTCAAAGCAGAGAAAGTCACTTCACATAAGTAAGTAGATCCAAAAGGTAACAGTTCAGACAATGCACGTTTTCCAAGATCTGCATACTCCTTCTCCACATCACACCAAAACTCAGTCAGTGTCTTTGTAGTATGTCCCATCTTCAGTCCACGGTCAGAGAATAAATCCATGAGTTGCTCCTGCAGCACTGCTGGAAGATTCTTGCTGCTTTCACTCATGATAAAGGGGTTCCTCACCCAATCAAGTCTTTCTGAATGTTTGTCAATGTCCTGGAAATACTGATTAAAATCAGTGCTGAGCTTGGTCAGATGTGCTTTCACTATTTTGACTACTGCCCGCCTGGGTAACTCACTGGTAGTAAGGTGAGTTTGAAGTAGTGGGAAACAGCTAACATCCATCTCATCACACTTCCTCAACCATAGCTCAAGCTTCTTAGTGAATCCTTTCACTTTGTCATACATGTTGAGAATGTGTGACTCTTTGCCTTGGAGTGACAGGTTGAGCTCGTTGAGTTTTGAAAAAACATCGGCCAGGTACGCAAGACGTGCCACCCACTCAGCATCCTCGAACACGACCGCGAGACTGTGCTGATGCTCTTTAAGAAACACATAAACCTCATTATGAAGTTCATAAAGCCTCAGTAGTGTTTTTTCCCGCGAGACAGCCAGCGCACGTCCGTATGAAGCAGAAGCTGTTCGTGCTCGGTGCCGCTCTCCTGACACAGCGTTTGGAAAAGTCTGCGGTTGAGTGGACGCGAGTGAATAAAGTTGATTACTTTTACGGCATCGTCTAAAACGGCGCTCAACTCAGGGCTCACTCTCTTGCTGGCCAAGGCTTCGCGATGGATAATACAGTGCAACCATTTGATCTCGGTATTTACCTTTTTCACCTGGCCAAGAAGTCCCTTTACTCCCCCGGACATAGCAGCAGCGCCGTCTGTGCAGATGTGCGTACAGTACGTCCACTCAATATCGTGCTCTTTAAAAAAGCTGTCGATCACCTGGAATATCTCTTCACCCGTTGTCTTTCCTGGCAGTGCTTTGCAAAATAGTACGTGCTCATTTATGTCCGATTCATCTTTGTACCGTACAAACGCTAAGAGCTGGGCTTCTCCGCTGACATCTGTCATTTCATCCAGCTGGAGAGCAAAGTGTCCCGCTCGCCTCATTTTAGACACTACTTGCTCCACAATATTGCTTGACATATCAGCGATTCGTCGGGACACTGTGTTGTTTGACAACGGGACTGTTTTGAATGCGTCTGCTGCTCTTTTATCAATCATTTTTTCAGCCAAAGCAGTCGCGGCAGGGAGGATCAGTTGTTCGACTATTGTATGTGGCTTTTTGGATTTGGCCACAAGCAATGACACGGCGTAGGAGGCCTCCAACGCTTTGCTTGAGACACTTGCGGCCTTTTTAATGACGGACTGACTCGTCTTAAATCCCATCAGCTTTCGTTTGTAAAACTCTTCCGCTTTACCCGCACTTTCTGGATGTTTTGTGGTCAAGTGTCGCTGTAGATGTGATGGCTTCATCGAGGTGTTAGCCAAGACCTCGCCGCAAAAGAAACACTGAGGCTGCGGAGGATCCGCCGAGGTGCAGGTGAATCCATACAACAGGTATTTATCACAGAACTGTCTTTGCTTTGATTTTGTATCTTTCTTACGCTTTTCCATCGTCTCAGCAGAATGTTCATCAGAGTCTGGAGTGATCGTAATCGGGCGTTTGAGCCACCTATCCATGCTAGCTGTCGTATTTTTTTCCACTGTTTTGATGTTTAGGCGCGCAGCGTGTCACAGTTTATGCCTCCCGGAGGTACAATTAGGACAATTAAAACAATAGTACATGTGTTATAAATGTTGTATTAAGACTTTTATTAAGTGACACCCGTATTGACACCGTTTTTACTTTATTCTGCATTACCACAATTTTTTTTTTAAATTATTGGCAGAATTTTCTTATTTTTTTTTTTTTCACCACGTACCCCCCTGCAACGTCCCCGCGTACCCCCAGGGGTCCGCGTACCCCCGGTTGGGAAAGACTGTTTTAGGCTGCACAATGGCACAGTGGTTAGTGCTTGTGCTTCACAGTAAGAAAGTTCTGGATTTGGTTCCACCTCCAGATGAGGTCTTTCTGTGTGGTGTCTGTGTCGGTTTCCTCCGGGTGCTCCAAATTCCCTTATCACTAAAAACATATCCAATAGGTCCGGGCTGCTTTAATTATTGTGTGGAGGGAGAGGAAAAATGGCCACGACAATTGTAAAGCGCGTTGTGATGAAATGAAATGAAAATGAAAGGCACTATATAAATACTTTTGACTTTTTATACGTTCAAATTCTACAGATGTGCACCTCCGCAGCATAAACTCTAAGTCTTTGCTTGAGTCTGGTCTTGTGTTCTGATTGATTGATTGATTGGTTTAGTTCTGTTTGGTTTACATAATTAATATTTTGTAAATTTGTAGGAAATCATTTGTGTGCAATATCAAAGAGTTCAACTTCATCCCACTCCTTTTCAAGTCACAGTGAATTGTCTTTGTTTTTCAATCAGTGTCTCGCAAGCACTGTTTTTGTTGTCGTTGTGCATAATTTAAATTTTTTCATTGTGTACTTGAAATAAACAAGGACAAGGTTTGTTTTGATTATGCTAAAGTGGGATTACATTGGATTATGGTAGATCTCATTAGAGCCACTTGGTTTGAACTTTATACATGGGAAAATTCTGGTTTGGATCTGGGTTAATCCTTGACTTTACCAGGATCAGATCAGGTCTCATAACTCAACAATTTAGACGGAGATGCTGGTTTTGATGAATTAACCAAACACCAGTTTTGTGTAATATATATTTATATAAAAAAGCTAATAAAGAACCGTAAAGATAATAGAAACGTGACCACTTTTCAGTTTAAACTCTTCAAATTCAGAGGAAATGTGTCCTCTACATTTGACCTATTCATCAGATGGATCTATATGTTTACCATTAAATGTGTAATATATTCTACTAAAACTCTACCAATCATAAATCATATCAACATCTAATTGTTATTATTTAGGGTTCCACAGATGTACTTTTTTCAGGCCCAATAGATCTTGATTGGCTTTCTGCTGATACCCCAGACCCGGGAACTGGTTGGAAATAGCACAGTTTACCAGTTAAAATGGGTGTTTAGACTTTCATTTTTTCTGCAAGTAGCTATAACGTCTGGTAAATCTAAATTCTAAATCTTCCTGAAAAGGTGAGACAGCCTTCTACTATGTCAATATTTAAATCCAGTTCTGTTCAGCTGTGCATACAACTGAGAGTTTTTATCTTCACTCTTTTTCACTGTGATTATTTATGATTTTAATGTCTTGTATGATTGCTTTTCTATCTTGTTAAGCGCTTTGAGTTGCCTTGTGTATGAACAGTGCTATACAAATAAACTTGCCTTGCCTGGAATAATTTACTAAAACTGAGATTCTGGGCCAAAATAAGCAAGTCTTATAACACTCGCTGAGAGGCCCATAGGAACTGACACTCTATCACTCTAACAAATTATTAATACACTCCTACATCCACACTGCACTGCTATAGGCTATTTAAATCTAGATCGCTGTGACCTGTACGCTTGATATACACGCACGAGGTCTTGTATCGCCAATGGAAAATCAAAACATTCACACACAAACACAAACACGAGCTGATGAGGACCATATGCTGCAGACACTGAGAGAACGGAGACTGCGAAATGTTCCGTTTATTTTCTCTTCTCGTGAATGAGGAGTGGGCGAGATGAACGCAGGGGGAACGGGCTCTGGGAAAATGCAGCAGGGGAAGTGTGGACAGGTCCGAGTGTTACGAAAATGAGGGAAAGTGGAGAAAGCAGACCGAGAAAGAGAAATAGAGAAGGAAGGAAAGAAGGAAAGAGAGGAGGTGGGGGACTTCCACTATAGGATTACAGAAGTCATTAAGATATAGGATGTGTGGGGTCATTTCACAGGCCAGGCATTATATGGGGCTCTGATGAGGGGGAACACTGCATTTCTGGGGCCAGGCTAACGTTGTATTGTACGCAAAATTACATATGATAATTTTTTTTTTAAAGTACTATACTGCTTCTTCACCATTCTCTGTCTTTACATGACTTAATTCAATCCACTCAATTTAATGTGTTTTTGACTAGCTCTAAATCACAACAGAAATCGTCTTGGAGGACTTTACAAAGATTAACCAACAACAAATCAGTGAACATATAGCCCTTGGTCCATACAGTATAGTCCATATAGTGGGATGACAAATGTCCATAAAAAGCAAAAAATGGATCATCAATGTCCTTAGACTCTCCTGCATCAGCAACAAGGAATGACTCAAAAAACCTAATGGGAAAAACTTTGGGGAGGCCTATATTGAGAGAGGGATCCACTCCCAAGGACCGCCAGGCTGTAGATCCAGGGAGAGGAGGGTACAGCTTTTTGTGTGTGTGTTTTGAAACATTGTATTTCTGTTTATTTAGCAGTTTATCTTGAAAATATACACACGTTTGTTAAAAATAATAGTTAATTGATTGGTGTGACATAAAAGGCAGCATCCCTCTATCTCCACATTCTGCAAACAACAGCTGGATCTTGCTGAGAAGTTGAATTTTCTCCACATATAAATTGTACTGGTTCTCACTGCTGGGATCTCAAAACATCTGCTTTTTAATGACTTTGTTCAATTAACCATTAACCACAACATACAAGAGGAAACAGCCCAGCAACACCTGCGCCCTGGCCTCCGCAAAGACATCCCAAGGACATCCAATAAAACCCGTATTTTTTTAACCATTCAGACCCACAGCAAAACCAATGAGAATAGTGATAAGAACCGATGATGTAAATTGCATGGAAAAATAATCAGATTTTTGCATTTCTGGCCAATAATCTCGTTCTCAAAGCCTGGAGCATGATTGCGAGTGACAAGTTGAAGACAAGCACCTGTGTTTGACCGCGGTCCTGAGCCAGCGTTTTTCTGTGTGAAAGGAAGTTTTGGCCCGTTTAAAGTTGTTCATAATAAGAGAAAAATGCACAGAGAGAGGAAGCGCAGAGGCGGAGGGGAGAGCCTGATTTGCCGCAGATGCTTGTTGTAGTCCAGTGGGAACATGACATAAGGTTCGGTCCCGATGAAAAATATAGTGTTTATGCTGCGGTGGCGTCTGTGATAGTTTCTCTCAATGGGGAGAAGAAACCGGCAAACCAGGAGGGCTCGATGAAGGATGTATAAATGTGTAAAGATGGCTGCATTTAGTGGGTGGACACTCGGCTATACATAGTTCCCACAGACCAATGAATGTCACATGACCTCCTCGGAGACGCCATCTTTGATGGCACGCTGCTGTGTTTGTGCATTCCATTAAACAGAAGAATGAGAATAAATGTAGATATTCAAACGCAAATTGGAAAAAAGGGCAACTTTTGAGCAAATAATTGTATATTAATACAATGGCACCACAGTTTAACGTGCTACGGACATGTTTTACATATTTGATCAAATTATGCAGCAAAAATTAACAAGCAATGCAAACATTTCTCAAAAACTTTAGATTTAATACCAGTTGGAGCTCCATTTAATTATTTTAATTATATTAACAATTAATTTAATTAATGCTAATGCCACACGGACACTCTGGATTGCTGTTATTGTTTATTTCCGCGTTTTTGACCGTATGTTTTGGTGAATGGTGGGCAACTGATTTTTCCAGGCGTAAAGAGCAGTTTATTTTATGACACAGATCTTTTTACAGAAGCAATGCTGTTTGTGAACATTGTTTTAGCCCACCATAGAACTATTATTATCTATTTAATACATTTACGTTGCCCTCGAGAGCCTCGGACGCGACACCGATCCTCCTCATAATAAAGTAATCTAAATAATGAAACTCTCAAGTAGTACCAGATATCAGCATACACAAGTTAGTACTGAGTAAATTACGTCTGTCAACACATTATAAGATACGATACGCACCTGACACAAAGTGCTCCGAGCATATTCTTGCGTGTTTTGAGGGAGTTTCTTGCCTGTTTATCTTCGCAAGCCATAACCTCCGTCGTTGTTCTGACAAAAGCTTAGTCTTCTCACATTCATGAAGTCTAATGATGGGTATACTGTAAAATCCAAGTTTAACTGAACCTCCGGCACGATTAGAACATCCATTGACCCAGCAGGAGACGACCATTTTCAACTTTATCACACGTTTCAGCTTCTTTTTCTATTGTTTTGCCCACAGAATGCCAAGACAAATGGCGCCGGGTCGGCAAATCCCCGTATGTAGTGACGTCATGTGGGAACTATGTATATGATAAGTTACGTTTATGCGACGTCACAACATTCCAAAGAGCCAATAGTTTAGCATTGTGGTGGAGATCTCTTGAATCTTATTTTAGAGCTAATTTTCGAAGTCACAACGTTCCGCATCTTCTTTGTCAGCACGTAAAACACCACTTACCCTCGGGACGATGATATAGAGCTCTTGGGTCCAGGACAAAAAGGTTGGTAACCAAAAGCAGGGAGAGGACAGTGATGATCTGGTACATTTAAGGACATTTAGGACATTTATCAGTAGCTCAGTTGGTAGAGCATTGGCCTTCAGGCCTGAAGGTTGTGGGTTCAATTCACACCTCAACACCTTCTCCACCGACTCCCACTGATGACTGCTGTCG